TTATCCAATTTGAGACAATGAGATAGATTTAAGGGAGGATGATTTTTTAAATGTCAGTCACATACATTTTTTCTTCTAAATATATTAATAAGGTTTTAGTCTATTTCAGATAGGAAGGCTTAATTGCCAGCCAATTTTGTATACATATTTTTTTCTGGCTTTACTCAAATTTTGGATTTATATAAGCAATTTTTCCATCCATCCATTGGTAAACAAAAACAAAATAATAAGCCTGTAAACAACTCTGTCTAAAACCCTCAAAATACCTATTAATAGGAAGTACTATTATATATTATGAAGGGAGAAATTCTCAAAATACCTAACATTTGGAAGTGCCGTTTTATATGGTCAATACTAATAGTGGATTTATCTTCACAAACTCAAAATGTCAAGATACTCATGACTGAGTTTGAAATTGTGGCCGAAACCTTCAAAATACCAAAAATCAGGAAATAACGCTATGTGGGGGGCCTTACCGAAACGTGGACCGTTACGTCCCATTATTAATGCCAAACATATGAGAGGTAATATGAATGTCTGAGCAAAATTTTAATGCGATAAAATGCTTCCCTGAATAAATCTCCGTGCGATGGTTCGGAAACTGTTTTTTGCGGTTAAGGAACAGCGCCACTACGTTAGATAATATATATAATAATGTAGAATACTTTATGTATGCTGTTTGGTTTCAACTTGAAAGGGATGTTGCCTTTTCCACGATTTTCTAGCTAAAATTAAATATTTTAATAACTATTCTTCTGCTGTACTCTAAATTTAATATTCCAAATTCCAAAAATGAACATTTTTGAAATTAAAATAATTTATTGAAAATTAATTACTTTGTTTACATTTTTTGGACACATAACTCTGGCACATGGTAGAAAAATACAGGTAGATGCGTCAACATTTGGGAACATTGATATGTCAAAAAATTTTAAATGTCTTTTCAAATATAAGTAGATTTTTAAATGTTTTCTTATATGACGTCATTCGGAGGTTATTATAATACACGTTTTTCGACAATTTTTACAAATTTAAATAAATTTTTATTCAATATTTTCAATTCCAAAATTAGTTTGACAGTTCATTGTCCCAGCAGCTGTGTCGATGCGTCTACCTATATTCTTCTACCATGACTCTGACACTTGTATTACGTACAAAAACAAATTTGTATGTGGTTGTTGCGATTGTTGTACCACAACACTCGCCTGTATTATTCTACCATGGCTATTAACGTTCATTTAAATATTTACTGTGGAAATAATTATTTTTTTGTGGAATTATATGTTTGGTTATACATGCCTTCAAGCATACAAAAATTTTAAGGGCATTGGGCTGAAATAATTAAATTTGCAGCTTTGCCAATAGTATGTATGTTGTCTATGGAAGCCACGCAATTCAGAAATAAGCACTAAGCGGGACTACATGAAACTGTAAACCAGAAAAATGAGTTGTGAATAAGAAATCAGGGATCTATTCAACGGGTTGCTATTTTCTTCTGATCCGATAGTATCAAGTTTATCTCGTAGTACATCTCTAAGCCATCGAAGAGAAGTCCTTAATTCAGATCAAAACTCGGATTCTGAAAGTGATTAGAATTAAAGAAGTAATTTATACACTGCATAAAATAATGTTTGAGATATATAATAATAACAAAAACACCTTAACTAACTTATATCGCTGCAAATTAAAAAAAGAATGTCCTATGCTAGGAATAATTTACGTTCACAAGTCATTTAAAAAAAAATCTTTAAATTTTTCATAAAGAAATTTTCACATAAAAATTTAATTTCTATAGGAAAAATAAATGTTGTTTAAATGTTTAAATATTTAAAAATTCGCCAAATATATTAATAAAATAAGTTTAATCCAAATTATGGATAAACATACAATAAGACATCAACTTTTATTTTCTGTACGCTAGATCTGCATTTTTCCACGACGGCGTTATCTTGAGTCTGATCTCACATCTTGCAAGTATGAATTCCAGTTCGTAAAAAAATTAACATTTAAACCTGGGGGGAATTACTATTTAATGTTAGAAATCCTGTCATCGATCGAACTTCGATGCTATGAAATAATATGTATTTTATACGACCCTGTAAAGCTCTGTTACTTAACGTGATCCTTTACACAAAATATCAGCACAATTTAAAGAGCCATGTTTACACTCTACTACTTTTGCAATTTTTACTAGTAAGAAAAGTAAACGAACAAACAGAGCATGGTAGAAAAATACAGGTAGACGCATCGACGCAGCTGCTGGGACAATGAACTGTCAAACCGACTTTGAAATTAAAAATGTTGAATGAAAAACTGTTGATATTTGTAAAAATTGTTGAAAAATGCATATCATAACAAGCTCCGATTTGTGTTGTATTATAAAACGTTTAAACTCTACTTATTTTTGACAAAACATTTTAACAATTTTGACATATCCATGTTCCCAAGCGTTGATGCATCTACCTATATTCTTCTACCATGAAACACATAAACAATAGTCTTTCAAAATATTGTTTTAGCAAATGCTCTGTTCCAGAACCTGCATGAATCTACCATTTTTGCAATTTTTTTTATATCATTAAGAAAAATCGGTTATCGTAGTAAAAACTTTTACATCCTTGCAGTTCTGGAACAGGCCATAAGATTTATGCACTGGGCCATGGTAGAAGAATACAGGTAGTCGCATCGACACAGCTGCTGGGACAATGAACTGTCAAACTAAATTTGAAATTGAAAATTTTGAATGAAAAGTTATTCAAATTCGTAAAAATTGTTGAAAAACGAATATCATAACAATCTCCGATTGGCGTCGTATAAGAAAACATAAATTTTTTTGAAAAAAAAAAAAAAAACATTTCAAAAATTTTGACATATCATTGTTCCCAAGCTTTGATGCATCTACCTGTATTTTTCCACCATGCACTGGGCTTAATAGATCATGTGTGTTTAGATACCCCTTGGGAGGATGTACATGCCATCGAAAGAAAAAAACCTGATTTGGGAACAATTGATTGTTGATCATAGCATGGAAAATAATGCATCTTCCGATGTATTACCATGTGAAAAAAATGGCGATCTTAGAGTGCACAGCAGTACCAATATACAAATCCCGTGCTGCTTTCCGTAATATGTAAACATAAATCCGCCATGAGAAGATCTGTTTTTGTATTGTAAATATGGGTTAAGCAATAAATCCATGAGTGGAATTCTCTTATCCGTAACAAATATCGGCAAAAGGACTAGACTAAGTTGACAAATAACGACGAGTTTGTTTTGTACGAAAATATAAGCATTTTTATTTTATCGATTTTTTTCGATGATCAAAAAAAGAGTTAGAGAATCACGCTACTTTTGTGATATATTACAAAAAGGCATTAGGTTATTTGCACACATTATAGTAAAAAATAACCCCCACAACATAAAAATATCGAATTCTTGTCTTTAAAATTTTACTTCGAATCTTCTGAACAGCATTTTTGAGAAAAATCTCGTGTTACTCAGTAAAAATGGATATTTCACATGCACCACTAGGGGAGCAGCAAAAAAACTAATCACGTCATCACCAAATTAATTAGCAATGTTGCTTTATTAGATCGGAAACCACCCAGCAAAAACGTTGACGTTGTATGAGCTGAGCCTCTATGAACACATTCAAATGCAATTGCTATGTTCCGGAACCTGAAAGAATCTTTTAGTTTTGCAATTTTTTCAATATCTTAAAGTAAAAAATCGGTTATGGTAGAAATTATCTTCGTGGTTGTTATTTTATCTATGTCGCATGACATGAAATAACTTGTGAAGCCTTAATTCTACTGTGATCTTTACGAAAGATTTTGGTATTCAGTTTCAACTTGGTTAAAAATGTTTGATCAGGCTTCAATGAAAATTTCTAACGAAATTTTTAAAAGAAACAATTTTCTTACCAATTAAAATGTACGAACTATTCTGAGCATCACCGATTTTATTGAATTTTTCAAAGTAGGAGATACTGAGTAATTTTTACTGGAAAAGTTATCGTACATGAGTGCCAATTTATATATTGCACCGTCATGTGTGCCTTAAAGAGGTGCTTGGATTATAGAGAAATAAACAAAAACAACAAAAATGGAATTATCAACATTTTTAAGCTGAACGCCTACAACTTAAAACATATCTGTGTAATGCTAATTAATAAGAAAATAAATCGAATCATGATACCTTTTCATTTTATTTATTTAATATATGTATAAATATAGAGTAAACAAAACAAATATATGTGTCGTATTGTAAATGTATATGATAAATTTGAGAACGATAAAAAACTTTACAATTATAACATCGTTTGTTTGTTTGCCTAATTATTATTGTTATTATTATTTGTTGCTGCACAAAATTGCTGAAGGAAATCTTAGAAGTAGACATACGTACATACATTAGGAGAATAATAGTACCATAAATTCTATAATTCTCTGGCGACTGACTTACTCTACAAACACAACTCAAAGGTACAATGGACAAGAGAGGTATTTAATCAATTGTATAAAAAAGAAATAGCTCATCACATTTGGGTAAACAGTAAGTTACTAGGCAGACGCAGAAGGAAATAAAAACAATAAATTCAAAAATCAAAAACCGATTGTTGTCTGTTCTGAGCGAAACATTCATCACCAACATGGATGATACGACATAGTTGAAAACAATGGTACCTATCTTATTAAAAATAAAAAAACATATATAACTAAATACAACAAACTAAATCACAAGATTGATTGACTCTGTACAATTAATCATTTCATTTGGTGTACAGTTAATGATGTCAATACGATTTGATTAAAAAATAATCATACACAGCCCGAGGCAAAATAATATTCACATTAACAATAAATTAGAAGTACAGAATTTTGTTTTCCCGGTTTAAACATTTTTGTGTTACACTAGGCTGAAGAATCTCCATCACACTAAATCAGAACGTAAAATATTAAAAAGTACACACAACGAACGTTCAATAGAAAAATTAGTAATGCTGGCGGAATGCTGATGTTTGTTGTATTTTGTGTAAGTTTTGGTTTACAATAAGGAAGGGGTAGGTAGTATTTGTAAAAATGCCGCCTTTCTGTGTAGCTAGGCGGGGTATGTTGTTGAAAAGTTCCAACAAGTTAACGCGGGAAACCTAACAAAGTTTCGAACCGCCATTCGTCATCTATATTTTGCACTTTGGTAAGCGTTCATCCAGGGACATGAACTCATCCTTCCGGGCCAAGTACTCATTGTAGCGTAGGAAAGCATAACTGCAAATAAATATAAGGTTAAATGGACAAAGCGTGGCCTGAAATACAGACATACTTACTCAACGTAATCAAAATCGAGTGTGGAATGTTCGGCTTGTATGAGACACCATATTGTCCAGAAGAAGTGTGCTGCCAATGCAAATTGATTTACCTGTACATACAGACGTTCCACTTCAGCATCAGTCACATCGCTCTTTTGCAAATACGCTTGCAAGTAAACTCTGAGCCATTTCAATTGGAAGTCTCGACTGGGATAACGCGTGTAATCCACTGTATCAACACCAGCAAACTCGGCAAAGTGATTGCCAATGTCAAAAGCCTGGAAATTGTAGTCAGCATATTCGTAGTCAATGAATGTGACGGTTTTACGAGATTCGGTATAAACAACATTGCCCAGCAATAAATCGTTATGTGCAAATACTAGCGGCGAGTCCAAACGTTCCAAATGCTTATACAATTCGGCAAATTCATCGCGCATGCGTTTAATAGGTAAAAATACGCCCTCAAGTCTGCTTATGTCCAAATGAAACATTAAAAAAGAGATGAAGACAGATGCATTAATAGGGGTTTTAGTGGATGACGCGGCGGCATACAACAGACATGAACATGCATGATCGCCTATTTGTTACTTTGCTTTTCATTGTGTTGTAGGACAACTGAATTGTGATATTTCTTAAGACAAAATGAATACGAACGTAGGACGAACGACGAATATAACAACGGAGTATCGTAAAATCTCGTTGCTAAACACGACAACCACCCAGCACCCTTACTGGATGCGCCCGTTCGTACTCAATCCGATCCGTTCGTCCTCTGTGGACGACCGCTCATCAACGAATTCTACAAAATAATGAATTTGTTTTTGGCACTTTGCAAAAAATAGAAAATCTTCGAAACAATCTATGCAAAATTTACCTTTTTTGTTTTTCGGCATCACTGAAACGTTCAGGTACTAGGTCAAAGAAACTTTGTGTCTTTTTCCACAGCATTGGCACGGGTTTTTCATTCCGATTCCAATCGGGCTTGACAACCCTGTGCATATTTGCCATGCGTTGAGCCACTAACGACCATATCTCGGGAAGTAAAACACTCTCTGTATTGAGAGTAACGCCAGGTACAAAATCATATACCAATCCATTCTTAAATGTGGCATATAGTGTGGGTGCAAATCCATACGAATGCAACAAGATAATATTCCTGGTTTCAGCTTTGCGATCTATAAGCAGGTCTGTTTTATTGCCATAAATGCGGACAAGTATCACGTCTTTCTGTTTTTGGTTGCTTGTATTTGTGTTTGAATAGTTTTGTGACTCCGCATCAGTGTCGGCATCGCTGAGATTTCCGGAGTCGTTGCTTTCATCGACAGGACTGTCAATATTCTGTGCAGTTATCTCTTCGGAACATATGTGTACACCATTAACTCCATTGGCGAGGGAAGCAACATTATGATCTTCTGGTGGATTATAAAAACAGCCAACAAGTTTATTTGTGATCCCATCGGTGAATTTCTGAAAGAGAAAAGAAGTGTCGTTACTAAGCATGATTAACTGTAGCTTGTATTCTTCAACCACATTTATGGACGAAATGTCAAAGTCCACTATCGAACGTTTCTCAATATATAAGCAAATTTACGGCTGTCATATGTAAATAAATCTATCACATGTGTTGAGATTGTTTGATATCTCAAAAAGTAGAGTGGCCTCAAGTTCGTTCACACAAAATGAATCACAAATTGTCGAGATAAGATAAAGAGAAATTACGTTCCGAATAAAAAGAGTTAACAATCAGCAATATTGTTCGTAAACTTTCATCTCAAAGGATAATCAAAGTGAATAATTGTTACTTGTTCCTGGTTACGGACTTAAAATGTTCCAGTACTTATTATGTTTGACGTCTAAAATCCGGCGGCGCTATTGATAACCTTCGACAAAACATACATTTAAATTGAAAAATGCGCTTAAATTGTTTAGTAGATAATAGCAACATATTTTGTTAAGCTCCATTCAACGAAATAAATATTTTTTTTTTGTTTTAATTACACTGATAACTAATAACGAAAAGAACAAAATAAATATTAGACTGTCCCCGAAAATATATGATGTTAAAAATCTTTTAAGATTTCGTTCGGACTTATCTATGTAGACGATGTTAGGTATTCGAAGCTATTTTAATTTTTTTCGAACTAGATAAAAAATGCTCCAAAATTTCTGTAGATCTGAATACTTTTTGACTAAATCTAACTAAAGCTAACATATCAAATAAGAGGTTTTACGAAAGTGTGGGGCTAAATATAATTTCCTTCCACAGGGATAATTATTCACTATCAATTTTAAGTACCAAATTTCAAATAAATACAACGAAAAAAAGTGTCCCGAATAATCGAAATAACCGGGCTATACAATATCGTAGACGGATAAAGTATATCTTTGAACTTTAACTTGCTTCGAATAAATCTTTTATTTTCCCTTTAAGGATCAAATCTTAGCTTCCTATCTAAAGTCTTTTGGGCCCAACGCCAATCTTAGAATTCCTTTTTATAAAAGATGGCGCAAAAGTAATCCTCCTATCAGAAATTGCTATACATTTTACAACCGGCCCCTAATGTCTTAATTACAGTCAAAAAACTAAAACATCGGATGTTTACTTTTGCGTCACCTTGTACACGCATAAGTACTTAACAGACATTCCGATGTTTTTTTGGCTGTAATTAAGACATTTACGGCGAATACTAAAATTTATAACATTTTCTGATAGGAGGTTTATTTTTGCGCCACCTTATACAAGATCCCTAATGCATTAGCAAAGACAATTATTCAACTATATCTCGAACGAAAAGTTTAATTTTTTGTGCTATATGCGGGTTTTTGCAATAATAAAATTATATACAGCTTTCAGTGCAAATAGCATGCAACGAAAATCCAACAATATTGTTAAGTAAATATGAGGGGCAAATATGGTTATTTGTGGGGAGCGAAAAGTGTGGAATTAAATGTTTACAAAACAACAGCAGTAAAACGGGTTTATTTTAATCATGTGTAAGTTTGCAAAGTTGTGTTCGAATGAATGCTAACTTTTGTGGGTTATATAGTGATAAAAGAGTGAGGGAAAGATGATGGTTTCGCCGCCACCTTTAATTATTAATTGTTAGTAAACTACTATGTAGAGTATACAGCTTTAAAATTAATTAGCGTTATTAATCGAGACTCTTTTGAAAACCAATTGTCAGTTAATGAAAAAATACTAAACACATCGGGTGGGCTCTAAGGCTCCAGGAAAGTTCCTGATTAAATATGGTACAATTCCAACTGTGGTACAAATTCGTATTTCGTATTTATTAACAAATGGAGTTTTTTACCACTTGTCAATTGTCGGTATGACATGTTCCAACCGTCGGCATATCGATTTTTTGTAAGGATAATTAATAATAATAAAAAATTAATTTATTAGAACATTATATTTTTGTTCAGTTAAACTGATTCAACGTCTTTATTGCACTTTTCTTAAGAATATGGACTGTCCGTTCATGCTGATGACCTTCACAGATAAAAATTTAATTTTTATTAGAATAAATCATCCAAGCAAAATTGTACACAAAGATAGCTGACATTATATTCGAAGCAAACAGAAATTTCTGTTCACATTTAGTTATAATTCTTTCATTTATTTGAGCTTAAAAATGAAAAGTGCCGACTACTGGGACACACCGAACTTAGGCACACTTACGACGAACTCGGAAAAGAAATATTTTTCCGTTTGCAAAAACGTAAGGTCTGATAGGGCGTAGATTCGAGTAACTAAAAAGTACCTAATATTAAAAAATTAGTAACATCTACGGGCATGCCGAGAAGACAACGAAAAGTTGGGACTGTTCCTCTGTCATTGCCCAGCTTATGCAAATATCAGCTCCTTGTACTTGGAAAAAGATGATATGACAGATTCTTATCACCTTAGGGTATACATACTTGATTAGTTAAGATATTTAGTCAAGAGCTGAACTAGTTAATTAGTTAAGATATTTAGTCAAGAGCTGAACTAAGAGTATACCAAACTTTCTATTCTATAAAGTGATGTAATGTGGTTACATGTCTTTAAATGAGTTAAAAAACTTTTACTTTCAAAGATGTCATCTTTGACCTTCGTATGCACTATTTTATTTATGCATCAATCCAGGAAGCGTATGTTCTTATTGAGGCATTATTATTTAAAAGTGTACATATCATATATGATAATTCAAATGCAAGGCAAATAATAACAACGCCCCCATTGCGAGGCCAATGGCTCTACTTTACTACGTTGTGTGAACAATTTATTCAACAAGAACTACAAATTCATTTGCATTGTAACAAGCAAATAATGACTGTCCAAATGTTTAACATACAGATTTATTAGCGGGTTGACATTTTAATGGGATTGTCGAGATGTCTGACGAACCCACAATACGCAAAAATATTTGCGCCAAGTGCGCCACAAATCGGTTTTTTCGAGAAGCTCTCAAATCAATGAATGATCTCAAACAATATCGCTGAAAGAATAATAACTGCCGCAAAGCGACAATAATGAACACATTATTATGGCGTAATTGACGAGATTAGATTAAATGTGACAGCAAAAACAAAGTTTCATAAACTGTTTAAAAGTCATTTTTAAGAATGAATCAATTTCACAAACATATTTTAAAACTCTCTATTTCCCTATTTTCTTTGTGAAATTATGTAGATATTGCTGTCGTAGCCGCAAAAGTGTAAGATCTCAAATGTATTCTACCTTCATAGAGTTAATTTAGAAGCCAGTAATATAATGCGCTGAATGAATATGAATCTGAATGTACATGAATATGAATGAATGAATATGTACATAAGTATTTAGAGACTAAAGAATATATTATTGTAATTCAGCGTAAATCTTCAATATAATGAAACATATATATGGGACCTAAGTCTGCATGCTACAAAATAGAACAAGATCTACTTAATATTGTTTTTTAACATTAGAATTATAAATATTTGATAGTATATACATTTTGACACGATTTGTCTTATCTCTGGAAAATAGTTTTCTGATGATCTTTGTTCATTTCTTTAGTCTGACGATAATGGAATCTTATTGTCAGTGGTCAGAAAGTTATCACATAAACTGAAAATATGTTACGGAAATTCAGGGTCTGAAACATTTATGTATATTTGTAGTAAATGTAAATATTCTACAACCACAAAAACTACAAAATGATTATGTAGTAATCATAAGGTTTGATGGCAAGCAGAGTATTTTAATTCTGGATGATAATATTCACAATATTGTGTGTTGGAAACCCGCGGCATTTTTGAAGAGACAATAATATCAACCTATAGCCGCCTTGTGTTTGTAAAGTTCTGACTAAAACCATAGCAAATTATGATAAGCCCGAGTAATATATTGACCAAGAACTAAAAACAGTGTTAATTTAATTCGTTACTTTGCGCCCAAATTTCTAAAATTTTAAGCAACAGTTACCTAAGCGACATGATAGATCATGCAAAACCCCGAAATAAGTTAGACGTTTTCTACTCGATGTTGCTCTGTGGTATTTTGGCCCATTTCCAGCAAAGCCCTTGCTTGAGCTGAGCGACACTTTTGTAATTTTTAGTGCCAACCTTGCTTTCCCAAATACTCCAGACACAAAATGTTTTCGTGCCCAAGGCTTTAATACACCCTCCAGAATATTTTTGCGATAATATTCGGCATTTATTCTGACGCCAAATTTTTTCGGTGTAAGTTCTTGCACTTTTTGGAATTTCAATGGCTTTACCCCGAGCTCATTTTTCAATATTTGCCGAATGGAATATTGCGATATGTTCAGCTCATAAGGCATTTTTCGGCCACTGCGACGCGGGTTTCGATCAAGTCGCTTCTATACTTTTCGAACCATTTCTGCTGATGTTGCTGTTTTCTTCCTTTCCGTCTTTCTTGACGTCGGACTACGCTACCAGTATCACTGTAACGAGCGATGGTACGAGACACAAAAGTATTATTCACATTTAAATGCTGGAGTGCTCTAACGATAGCCACTTGTGGTTTTCTAGCCAAACGTAAAGAAATCACACTATCACGCATGAATTCCATCACGAATAACTTTTGTTCTGGAAAATTCTCACCAAAATGCTTATGTACGTTTGTAAACAATATAATGAGCTGTCACTGGAATAATTTTAACAGCTGTCGGACGAGTGGTTTAAAAATGAAAGCAGTCTGAAGTTTGATTCAGTTTTTTTCATGTCACCCTGTACATATTTTAAACTTCATGTTTAAGAAAATTGCATTCCATTATCACGTAACATTAAACTTGCGAAATGCCGAAAATTCGAAGGTTTCCTCATATGGGCTCGATGATATTCGGGGCTCACATTCCAAATATCCCTAGTCTTAAATGTATTCCAAAAACAGTTATCATCCGTCTAGCAAACGATTTTTCCGAATGAAATTTTGATTTTTGACTTTCCTACTTAGAAATAAGTTATGATAGCATTTTAATGACCACTGTAAAATACAACGTAGTATTAGTATTTTTATATTTATTCTTAATCGAAAAAACTAGTATTAGCCAGTCTTAATTATTGACACATATAGGTATGTCATATAATACGAATTTAAAAAAATTATAAAAATTACTCCAGTTAAACTACAACTGAGAAGTGTAAACTCAACTGACTGGTATTCTCAATTTGCATAATATCTGATTTATATTCGTTATACATGATTTCTTTTCGTTACACTGTGTTTCAGTGGAAATTTATAGTCTAATGCTTTTGCATTTAATGGAAGTCAAAGAAGGCCATAGATACCAATATATTTTTTTTTTTTAATTTAGATGTGTCTGCGTATGTTTTCATTATTAATGTAAGAAAACTGTATACAAAATATTCTTAGTGATAACTAGGATGAAAGGTTCGTTGTAATAGAAAGAACCAAGAGCTGGCAACAAAGTAAATTTACACGCACAGAACAGAGAATAGATAACCCATGGATAATTCCAGGCACTGGTTAGTGCCTATTGCTATTAAATCAGGAATAACTTTCTTGAAAAAACATATATAAGGATGTGGAAATTAACAAACTAATTTATTAAATAGATTTTGTAACTTTTTTTTTAAATTTCTTCTAAAATCCCTTCAAGATAACAACTAAAAGGAAGATCGTTCGAAAGAGGTTTTTGAAAAGTGTTCCCTGGGAACGTTCGGAAAACTAGTAAAAAATGAGCTTTACTTTACCTTAAACTGAACAAAACTCAGGTTCCATGATGGTCGAATCGATGTTATAATTTGTTTAGCACCTTCGATAACGTCATTTTCATCAATGTGTATTGGAACAAATGGTACATTTGAAAAGGATGTCGATGTCTTATTGTTTGAGCATGTTTTATCTGTGGCAACTTTTGTTGGAACACGTACGATACCAGCAGATGTAGTGTTCTCTGTATAGCAATTTAACTTGGTTTCTGTGCCCATAGTCTATATAGAACAAACGATATATCCAAATAAAAGTTCTTTGGCACCAACTAAATTAATTTTTATTATGAGTTTTTGTTTTGCTCTGCTATTTATCGAAATTTTTTTGTTTTGCTATAAAAAAGGAAATTATAACGTTTATTTCCTTTTCCTCTAAGCCGGAGGCGCAAATATGTGTATTGATTATTTTTTACTATCAAAGAATTTCGTCACAAACCAGACCAAGTTCAGTTTTTTACATATATAAACAAACAGACGCACAGTTTTTTGCGCAGACTTGTTGTTTCCTTCTTCCCGTCTATATATTACGGCACACACAACGAAAAATAATGCACGACAAATTATCAAATTCTTTTATCAAATCTATTTTTATCGATTTTCCACGTAATGTTTCAGAAAGAATGGTAGGCAAAATAAATAGCCTTGTTTTTTGTTTTTATTTCGGAGGTTTATGTTGCACTTGGAAATACGTCGATTTTTATAAAGTTTCAAACTGAATTGTTATTTCATGTAAAACGCGCTTATCAGGAAACAAATATATAAATATAGACCTTTTTTACAAATTAGGAGTGACTCTCAGAGCTTCTAGGGTTATAAAAAAGAACGGTGACCCACTCATCAACCCTCAAAGGAATCTACTTTCTTTAGGGATAAATATGATTCATATGTCGAAACAATGATTTTGTTTTATCTTAAGCAATTTGTTTCTTTTGCAATTACACAAATTTGAGGCAGCACAAAATGTATTTATTTATATTTATTTTGTTCGCAGAACAAAAAAGTTCGGTTTAATAAGCACACACGTTAAAATAAATTCTGAAAAAATCACACGACTTTGTTATTTATACTCTCTCTCTCAGTTATTTATCATAAAAATTGGCATTAGAGAAAAAGAGAAAGCAATATATTAATTACACGCTCAAAACTGACATTGTAGGGCATATTTGTGTTTTAAATAATTAATAAATTTCTGATTGAAATTGCAAAATATTATAATGCAAAATGCTGCCTGTGACGATTCTAAATATTTTACAATGCCAATATTGAACATGTATGGTTTCTTAAAGAAGAAAATGTCCAGGAAATCTCATCGTACCTGCGAGAATATTTGGGATTGAAGTGAGAATCATTAAATGAGAGACAACATGTTTTGATTTTTGTTGTTGGGATTTAAGTGAGAGACACGACATTAGGGATTCGTAAGTCAAGTTTTGATTAATCGACTTTAAAAAATGTCAGAATCTACGTTCAGTAATCGGTTTTTTCCTTGAAATTACCGATTTTCCATAGTTGTGTTCCAGAACCTGCAAATTAGTACTAATTAGCACTAATTCTGCTACAACGCGTTCCCGTACTCCAAAAACTAGCAAAACTTGCAGCTCTCTCGAGAAAAAAATGGCGCTGAGTGGTGCACATTTCTGCTTGTTTTAGCTACATGAATTTGGCCGAGCAGAAATGTGCAAATTGTGAATTTGACATTTAATTGGCAGGGCTAACAAGGTTGAAAAATGTATTGATACATTTCAATAAAGAAAATGATCAACTTGAAAACTAAAGGAAAAACTAATATTTGTCGTGCAAAAAACAAAAAGAGAAAATATGGAGCAACTGATGTATTCACTTTTGGATGATTCCAGCAGTGAAGAGGACTGGCTGAATGAGGAATCATATTATTAATTATTATTATAGATTATTAATTTTAACTTATCGTCTTCAATACTCATTTTTTAAATGTTGGCGCTCTTTTCAGTAAGGTTTCACCAGTCCGATTTAGGCTGTTTACTTTTGGAATTTTGAATTTTGACATTTTATCGCATTTCTACTAATTTTCCGTTCCCTTATTGTTTGAGCAAGCCTAAATGAGAATGACATTTCGAACTGTTCTCTCTTCTGCTAGTTTTACTACTAAAAAAGTACTGGAACACAACTCATGTTGATACAAGTCAAATAAAGCTTTGGTACGTTTACATTTACCAAATCGAGTGACTTTTCGAACTCTCGTATTAACCATTTTGGTCATGAAATTGAAAGCATAGACAAATGAAAATATAGACAACGAAATGCTCTCACCGTTTATCTTCGAAAAAAATCGAATCAGCAGATGTCGTTCATATCGTTTCAGGGTTTTGAGTGGGAATATTGAAGTCACTCAATTCTAAAACGTTAAAAATAACAAAAACTGTAGGATATTTGTCAGTTGAAAATTATTTCAGAATAAAAGAAATGTGAAAAGTACGTAATGACAACGAAAAACATGGTAATATTCCAGTGAAATTCTTAAAAAACGATAAAATGTTTTTTCGAAGTCGAGTGGCTTGAACGCGTAATGCTAGGAACACAATTGGAGCGAACGACGAATTTCGCCCTACGCGGCGACAAAATGAGCCGCGTAAATTCGTCGTATGGAACACAATACCGACGAAATTATAAAACGGCTGATGAAGTTGTTTACTTTTTGCTCATTTGTTGACTACAATGAATCAGAGAATTGTAAAGTTTATTAAAATTATCAAAATAATTAACATAATGTATATTATAGTAAAAGCTTATCTGCTTCTTCACTCAGGCGCAAGTACACAAATAAATAAACAAATTAATTATGTTTTTTTTTTATACGAGTAACAGATAGTAGAGTGACCATAACAAATTTTAAAGTAAAAAGTAACTTTATTTACTAAAACACATAAAATTCGTACAAGTATGGCCACCTTGTACTGTTTTGTTCGCCGGTCGCCGGCGTATGAAACAGAAATAAAGCTAATTGAGTTCGCGGCGACCGACGAAATTTTCGCCGGTGCCGTGATTGTGTGCACTTCCATATACACATATGTGTTTTATTTTTGACGACGAACATACGCCGCGAAAAAATTCGTCGTTCGCTCCAATTGTGTTCCTAGCATAAATGAGCATGTTGACTATGCAAAACATGATGAGAGCCACCTGGAAAAAAAGACCAAACTAACTTTTCGTTGTCTATATTTTCTTTTGTCTATGTTGAAAGATTGAATAGTTTGAATCATATTTTTGGTATTAACTCGTTTTAAAAATGAGGAAAAATATAAAAAATGAAAACAAATTGTTTTATAATTTTGAATGGGTATGACAGGAAGCTGGCATAGCCTCATTGCCGTATTTCTGTAGTTTTACGAATCTGTTCTACCTCCTTATTGTACCATACAAGAATGTAAACTATTAGTCATAAATATTTTTTTTTCTGTTAAACTTTTGTTTATATTACTCAAAACATACGTTCCTAATAATAAATGGGGTTATAATATTTTTTTTTAAACAAGTAGGCTCTGAAAGTATCGGTCTGACAGACCGGGGGTTAGTATACGTGTTACAATTTTTGACGCGCGTACGCGAAGGTCAAGGTGAGAATACATAAAACGCTTTCTTGACTGAGTTCGATTTTGGCCCGACGCTCCTTTGTTCTTTTCCGAAGATGCTTGCCGATGACTGATTAAGCCAGCCAAATAAACGCTTTATGTATTCCCACTTTAAATAGTTGGAATGCACTAGAAAAGTTGAATTCGCTTATCAAGATATTTTGGATTCCTGGTCATCCCAACATTCTTAACAATGAAGCAGCGGATGAATTTGCAAAGGTACGAAACCGGGTCAATCGGTGAAGTAAATCACTCGTCCACCTTTATGCCATTTCTACCCTGTGGTGGACAAACATTACTACAGACGATGATGAGACTGAAACAGTCGAACATTTTCTGGTCCACTATCCAACACTCTTCAGTGTGAGACATTGGCTTATGTTTTCATACTCCGATATAGAATCAGCAGTTATTCATCAGCTAGCCAGAAGATTAACGTGACTAAAAACGACACATTAATATTTCGTGGTGGAGTACAAAATTATTCTATCTTCTTCTACTTAAGGTGGAAGAACAAAGGAAATGAACAAAGGAGCCTAGGGCCAAAATCGAAATAAGTCAACCTAAAACTCTTTTGTTCCTCTATGGTATGTTTTAAAAAAAATTGTTTGGACTAAAAATTATTCTCGTGTGAATTGGGCCAATCAATACAATTTGACGCGTTGCTTGAGAGCATTTGATTTAGATGAAGCGCAACGAATAATTGGTAACCGCATGTGTATGTCGCCATTTTGAAAAATGTAATAGAACTTTTAACGAGGAGGGTGTTTTTAATCGCGTTTCTTCTATTCGTGCTCGGAGTTTGGTTTGTGAAGTTTGGCTTTCGTGGATCCAAACATAGTATTTTTCACTCACGTTCGATTTAGTTATACACACAGTTTAATATGGATCGTAAGTTTTTATAATAAATTTATTGTTAAACTTATCCTAAATTGTTTTTGATATCAAGGCTATGGTCAGGGTGGCGGAGGAGGTGGTGGTGGATACAATAATTTTTCTGTGCCTCCACCGAATTATCAAATGGGCTCCGACAGCGGTGGCAGCAGTGGACCATATAGCAAACCTCCTCCATCATACAATAAACCGGGAGGTAAATATAGATTTTGAATTACTTGAAAAAAATTTTACTCACAAAGTTATAATTTTAGGTTACGATTCCGGTAATCGTGGTGGCAATTCAGGTGGTGGATGGCAAGATCGCAGTGGCGGCGGCGGAGGATATGGGTATGTATTCCAACTAATTTTATTGTATTAAGAGTGGATAAACAAATGTATCCCAGGGCGAAAGTCTAAAATAAGGCAGGCTACAAATTGCAAATCCCTGAATGTATTACCTGCGTTGTGTATTTATAAAACTATTTTGCTTCTCAACTCGACGAGTGTAGCCATTTTGTCCAAATCATTCTTTTACAATTTACGGTCATATTTGCCATTAAGAGGACATATTTTGCAGATTTTAAAATGAATTTGTTGTGTGAACACCGACATAGTAGTTTTAAGCGTCGATACATGCGTTATGTTTAAAAACAACTGGTTTTTTCTCCTTGTCCAAGCTGCGGTTTATAGAAACATCAAATACGAGACAGACTTATGTTTCAATATTCTATACAAAAACTAGCATTGAATGTGATCATCTTAAATTTGCAACATCAATTCGAGAAATTTTTAATATATTGTTTGAATAATGAGTTTATTATCAAAAATAACATTTTAAATTCAAAAATACAATTTTTAGGGGCCTTTATAATTCAATTAAATTTCTAGAACATTTTCAAATTTTAAGGAAGCTTGTGCTTCCTTCCTATTGAAATAGAAAAGGTAGCTGACGTTTCGATGTTTGATGCTCACACATTTCGTATTTTTCCATTATATTTTTTGCATTTTCAGTTGCTTTTCTTTAACCTTTATGTAATTACCTGAATTTGCTTTCAGGTGCATTGACACATCTCCAAAAAAAAAAAAAAAAAACCTTAGAAAAAAAATAAATTTCGTTAACTTATACTCATACATTTGAGCATATAACGATTCCTGCAGACGATTACCAAATTGATTTAGTGGTCCTAATATAATATTTTTCGCAAAATGGCTCTACGGAATTTTTATAAATAAGCCAACATAGGTATTAATATTTCCTCACATTTGTATGCAAACGGTAAAGATATGTTTCTGAATCTCTAAAAGAAGTTTAACAAAAAAATATACTTTAATTTGAACCAAAGTAGTTCTTTATTAGCGATAATTTTTCAGAGTAGACAATGCTAACATGCATTGGAGAGGCGTTTACGTATTCCATGTTTTAAGTCGCTTAAATTTACATGAGGGGTTTAACTTATAAAAATTGAGCAAATGGGCAATTAAAAATATTACGTTTTCAAAATAAAAACAATTTTATATCAAAGCCCAATTTGCCTGCCTTTTCACGATGTCATGGCCCAATTAAATGGTCATCTGGGAGGAAACTACTCCACCCAAGCTTCTCTGCATAGTGATGGAAATTTACATCAAACCCATTATCAATCAAAATTTGTATTAATGTAAAAGTTCGATGAACAACTGGTTGAAAGGTTAGTAACATCACTTTACATCACAAACTTCAAATAGCATGTCGTCGGCGTATTCAACCATATAATAACCTATACAAATATGTAAATATTTAGGGATTATGCTAAATTTACCAACCAAATATGTTGTATTTTCACGTTCAAAACATATAGCTCAAACTGGATGATATAATTTGATCATGGACGAAACTATTATAGGAAAGCAAATTTATTTAACAAGAAACAATTTGATGTTCCTTGGTATGTTTGTTTTTTTTTTCTTATTTTACTTAAAAAAAGGACGTTCAACTGTAAAAATTCTATCATGTGTTAAGAAATGATGTTGATATTTTGGGTTATGTGCTAATGATTTCGATGCAACTTGGGTTAATATTGTAGCAGTCCTACCAAAAACGAAAAAATACTAGGTTAAATAGTGAATTCCGGGAAAAAGTTTGATGAATATAGTTATTTTCTTGGCTCTGCAAATTTGGTGATGCAAGTTTTTTTCTTACAGTTGAGAAGCAATAGTTGTGTCTTAATGATGGTGTAAATAAATGCATACATGTATTTTCTTAAATATTAATAAATTTCACGAGTATTTTGAAGATTTCTAAAATTCGGAATGTCAAATATTATATGTGTCGCTCGCTCCCACTTAAAACTGAATTGGTATGAAAAAGTGAAAGAGTGTAACGAAGGTTGGTTAATATGAAAATAATGGGAATAAAATGAAATATATATCGTCTCAACAAACTACAATCAACAACATTATCCAGGAAAAAACTTTAGACTGATTTTCAATATTATCTTGTGTCACACCAGCGTTATTAAAAAAGTGGTACAAATCCTATTGATTGTGTTGTATACTACGAAGTGTGCAGCAAGTAATTTACTTCGTGAAAATGTTCTACGTTTTTGGTCTGACTTACCCAAACTGAAAATTACAGATTGTGAATCCACGATTAATTAATATTTTTGATTCTACAACAATATTGAAATATGATGAAACTGTTAAATGATGCGTAACTATTACCAATCCTATTCTAGAAATGGAGGCGGCAACAAGGACAGCTACAATAAAGGTAAAAACAAATTGCAAGCATTAAAGCAAATTGCTATGCAATAAAAACGAGTAATGTATAACAATTTGTAATTCAATTTATTTTTTTTTTATTTCTACTTAACACGACTAAGATCTTTTTCTATCATATACGTATATAGGTGAAATAAGAAAGTGTCTCCTGACAGCAAATTCATTTGAACCAATTTGAAAATGAGTTACACAGATTTTGTCCATTTATATAATCAAATAACGATTACCGAAAATCACTTAAGCAAATGCTTTTTTATTTCATCCATATATGTACAAAATATAATTTAAGATATACTGGACTGTTTAAATGACCGATTTGGTTGGTGGGGACTGACATTTCTCAAGTGTCAAAAGAGAAATAATTTACAAACTATTTCTAAATTCCTGTGTACAATATGAACAAGTAATAAAATCGGTAACACATGAGTACTACAACTGGTCAATAAAGGTTTAAAAGGTCAATAAATTGCAGGCGTAATATATTCATAGAGGAAATAAAAAAACAATAACGTGTGTGTGTATGTGTGTAAAAAGCATTTTAATATGAATGTCTGTAAATGGGATAAAATTCAATCAATTGATGGTTATACATATTTTCAAGAGTGTATAGTAGTATATTCTTTTGATTTTCGAAACATCGTAAATAAAGGATATATACTGAAAGCAAGTGTGTCACAGGTACAACTGTAAATTCCAGTCAGTAAATTGCAAAACTTTTCTATCCATTTGGTACAGAGTAAAAATGTTAAATTTTGGATATCTATGTATGAACATCGAACTATAAATGCATCTGCTTGAGTGTATCATAGTTTTCTTCAGTTGAACTGAGTGTAACATTGAGTGTAGATTGACATATTATTTCTTAATATATTTGTGTAATTGTATGCTAGACAAATATTAATGACTACGAACATTGCAGGTGGTAACGGCGGATATGGAGGCGGCGCCGGTGGCGGCAGCGGCGGTGGTGACATGATAACGCAAGAGGACACCATCTTTGTGTCTGGCATGGACCCGTCAGCAACTGAGTTGGACATTGAAACTCACTTTGGGGCAATCGGTATCATTAAGGTAAACTGAACAGAAATATGCACATTTTTGAAAAGGTATTCATTTCTGTTTTTCGTTATTATTGGCAGAAAGATAAACGTACCATGAAACCAAAGATTTGGTTGTATCGTAACAAAGAAACTGGCGTGTCTAAGGGCGAAGCCACGGTTACTTACGATGACATAAACGCTGCTCAATCGGCCATTGCTTGGTTTGATGGTCGTGATTTTAACGGCTGCATTATTAAAGTTTCACTAGCACAGCGTCAAAATAATTGGAATAAAGGTGGTGGAGGCCGCGGAGGTGGCGGTGGTGGAGGTCGAGGCCGTGGAGGCGGTGGTGGCGGCTTCGGCGGTGGTGATCGTGACCGTGGAGGCAGTCGCTTTGATCGTGGTGGCGGCTCTGGCGATTACGACTCGGGTCGTGGCGGTGGAGGTGGCGACCGCGGTCCTGGTGGAGATCGAGGTGGTCGCCCCAGAATGGGTGGCCCTGGCGGTGGTGGCGGCGGCGGTGGCAACAACAATGTTGCTCCCCGCGAAGGCGATTGGAGATGTAGCAGCTGTAACAATACCAATTTCGCCTGGCGTAACGAATGTAATAGATGTAAAACACCCAAAGGCGATGACGATGGAGGTAACAACGCTGGTGGTGGTCGTGGAGGTGGTGGATACGGTGGTGGCGGCGGCGGAGGCGGTGGTTACAACAGAGATAACCGTGGCGGAGGAGGTGGCGGTTACGGTGGTGGAAACCGCTTCGGAGGCGGTCGCGGCGGCGGACCTGGGGGTGATCGAGGCGGTCGACGAGACTTTGGCGGAAATAGTGGAGGTGGAGGTCCCATGCGGGGAAATAGCCCTGGAAACAACCGATCTCGACCCTATTAAGTGGAACCCGAACAATAATGTATCGGTATTTTAAGTAATTACAACAAGATGAATAACCTCGTCATTCAACGCAATTCTTACCTTTTAAGATAATTTTGTATTGTCTCCAATTTTACAGTCTTTGTAAAAACACACTTCCATAATATCTGTCTTTGATTTAATATGTATGTATTGTAAAGTACATTCGTCCTAAAATTACCAAATTTGTATGTGGAGAGATGCAAAAATGATCGTGACAAAATTTAATTTTTATTTTTTAAATTAAGATCATGAATAAATATAAATATGTAGAAAAATAAATTCGATATTATAAATTTTATATTACTTGTTGGACTCTGTTCCATATATAAGAATTGAAGGTTGCGTCACGTGTAAATTAATTTGTTATGAATTTAAAAGACATCTTCATCTCTCGTTCTCTACACCGAGATACGTTGGTTATCCAGGAAAAGGCGGTTAGTGGAACTATGGCACAAAGTTTTAATATCCTTAGAAGGAAACCCCGGAGATATTGAACATTTTCATGTTAAGCGAACTTAACTTGTATTTGCAAGGTTCAAGCGAATCAAATTTTTTTAAGTACATTACAGTTCAGAACAAATTTCAAGCGTTCATGAAAACCTACTTTTGTGGTATAGTTGCAATTGCCGTGCATTTATCACTCTTAAGAAGTAACATTGACAGTAATTTCGGGGAAGAAATCAAAAAGAGTTCGCAAAGTCGAATTCGATATCTAACTCATTTCTGGACCAACTACCAACTAATATGTCGAAAAAAGCTAGCGAAGATATCAGAAGATACCACTGAAAAATACGTTCAATCGCAATCAATAAACGAAATGCTGGCTCTCGGTTGCTGGGAAGTATCTTTGCCTGTTTCATAAAGCTATCAAAGCTCTCTCCCCGTTTCTACTTCGTGTCTATGCGAGGCCAGATTTTCGGCTATGTTCAATATAAAAATATAGTATCGACAAAAATTGGATGTACGAAATTTCCTGCTACTGAATGCTACTAATATGGAAATTAATGCTGAATCCTTAATGACGACAAATGTATGCCTCCCATTGAAATAAGTTGTTATTTTTAAGCAGCCAAAACGAGTGTAATTGGGCATCCTTAGTTTCATAGACACCAATCCTTAATGAGTGGTTGTTCTGCACTAATTTAGTTGATAAATATATAGATATATACTAATTGTACACATGTCTATGCACCATGTCGTCATAAATCTTAGGAGGAGGTCATAAACTCGCATGTGACAAGCAAACATGCTGCACTTGCTTATTAGTCCGAGTAAAGATTACATCCCGTAATCTAACTCCCGTTACATCCCGTAATCTATTGTTTATTTCTAATGTCCCGAAGATTAGCTTACCAAATTTTCGTACCTTATTAAATATGATAAGTTTTAAAAAGATCCCTGTTTAACAAATATGTCTCATCTGCCCTAGGTTGCTCCTCTATCCTCTTTATTATAAAAAAATGTTCACTCATCTGTAGACACTGTCAGTCGCAATTTTTTAATTTTTTGTTAGATGGTTCGCAATTCAGTAAACACTGTTCTAAACAGATCCGAAATCCCAATTCCATTACCAATGAAGGTTTCATGGACCCTTCGAAGAGGACCATCTAGGCGTAACCCACTCCTCCTAGTGGTGTAGGGCGTAGAGATTATCACGCAATTTTGTTGACATTGTTTTTATTCTGCTGAGAAAACTATTTCATAGCAACATTGAATTCCTTATTAATGTGTAGGGTAATAAAGGTCATAACGTACACCGACTCACACAGATATCGGTGCGCCAGTGGTAGCCAAGATCACTTGAACGTAGGGACTCGCAGCCATGTAGTGTTTCCTTTTAAATCTAATAATAGATAAGAATAATTGTGTGGCTGCGATTAGGTTAAGTTAGATACGTTTTTGTAGCACTTAAGAAAAATATTTTTTTATTCTGCTGAGAAAACTATTTCATAGCAACATTGAATTCCTTATTAGATTGGTCTTAATATACACAATTTAAAGGCGAAGAAAAGCATATTATGATTTTGAAAACTCAATGCGTTGTTTCGATCATGGTGTGGCGAATACAAGGTACGATAAATTTGAAAATTTTTCAAAAAAAAAAAATACCTGTATAGGTACAATCTTTATTGTAATAATTACAAGAAAAAAAAAAACAAGTAAAAAATCAGCTAAGTTCGGGCGGGGGGAACTTTTAATACCCTCCACCATTTGGAAAGAACTTGAAAGTTTTCAAAAAATAATAAATAAATAAAAAAACCCGTATGGGGGCTATACGAAGACGTGGACCTGTGGATCTTAATTCAACAATTCCGTTGAATTATGTTTCAATATACCGAATATCGGGAGGTACCGTTATATGAAACAATTTCGGTGAAAAAACTCTTAAAAGTGATGGAAATTCTAAAATGTTTTGATAAAATTAAATCCAACGTTGTTGGCCCAATGGAATAGATCCCAGATTTTTTAAGATTCTTCTTCCTAGTTTAATACCATACCTAACTTTTTTTCAATAACATTATAACCACAAATGCTTTTCCAACAGTATGGAAACATGTCAAGATTGTTCCTGTTGATAAATCAAATCCCGAATATCGCCCCATTGCAATATTGTGTTACCTCTCCAAAATTTTTCATAAACAAATAACTGACTATCTCCATCGTGAGTCTCTGCTAACTGACGCATAGTCTTGTTTCCGTACAGACCACAGCTGTATTACTGCTTTAATATATGTCTAGGAGTCAATTAGAAATGAGGTTGATGACAACAAGGTTTGTTTTCTGGTTCTCTTTGACCACTCGGAAGATTTCGATACAGTAGATCATCAAAATCTGTGTTTTAAACTCCGGAAATATTTGGTTTTTCTGCCTTATCAACAAAATTATTTTTTTCTTATCTCACCAATCGTTTACAATCACTATATTCCAGAACAAAAATATTCCGACCGCTGGTAGTGGATAAAGTAGTCCGTCAAAGTTCCATTATTAGGCCCTTACTTTTTTCATGTATTCCAATGATCATCCTACACAATTGGTTCACAGTCGAGTGCATATCAGAGGGCTGCAACGATACTCGGTTTCTTACATGATTTTTGTTGATGCAGTCGTTTGTTTTCGTCGTTATCGTCTCCGTATCGTATCAGTTTGAATCACTTCACTCACAATCAAACATGAGTGCTTGCGAGCGTATGATGTGTTCAAGCATCGTGAGTAGATCGAACACGCGAATTGGAATGAACAATCACAAGAGTTAATGTTTTCTTTCCATCGAGTTCGCTTAGCGTAATTATTTACTCAACTATTCAATCCAATTGGGGCAGAATATTGTGATAGTGCAACCGAAGGCGTTGCAAGTAGAAACTGGCAAACGAAAAGGTCCAAATTTTGTGTGGAAAGTCTTGGCCAATATTGTAAAATAAAATATATTTAAACAGTTTTTGTTTATTAAATATCTGTACAAAATATTTTGTACATACTTTTGAGTGCGGCTGAGGTGCTGGGAAAATCTAACCATTAACAAGTAAAAAAGCTGTAAGTTCGACCGGGCCGAAATTTTAATACCCTCCACCATTTGGTACATATTTGGCCATTTCCAAAAAAAAAATCCTTTAAAAATTCTGTTAAAATATTAAAAATACCGAATGCCTATATGACGACGTGGACCTGCATTGGCAACTTTTGTCATAAGTTAACACAATATTTAAATGCGAAACTTGAAGAAAAATCTGTTTATAATGTAGCTTAAATCATCAAAATACCGAATATAGAGGGTACCGTTATATGGGGGCTATACGAAGACGTGACACGAGTATTTCGAGGAGTTACAAACGGAATGACAAAATTAATATACCCTCCATAGTATGGTGGAGGTTATAAAAATAAATATTTCAAAATTGTCAGTTTCCAAGTGGTCCATCACATGTGTACAATTCAGTGTTCTTGTGCGCTGTCGCATACGATAATGTGTAGGGTAATAAAGGTCATAACGTACACCGACTCACACAGATATCGGTGCGCCAGTGGTAGCCAAGATCACTTGAACGTAGGGACTCGCAGCCATGTAGTGTTTCCTTTTAAATCTAATAATAGATAAGAATAATTGTGTGGCTGTGATTAGGTTAAGTTAGATAAGTTTTTGTAGCACTTAAGAAAAATATTTTTGAAATAAAATCAGAATTTAAATAACACCCTAGCAAAGCGCCCCCTACATTTGATTCTTCGAGCCGAATCGAGAATTGAATCAACAGCTAAACCATTCGGTTGACTTTCTCTTTTCGGTTAAACATTTGGTCCTTCGAGCCGGATACTAAGAATTAAATCAACAGCCAAACCATTCGGTTGACTTTCTCTTCTCACTTAAATAATATCGTTGACGTGTTTCTTTATTAAAAATAACGATTTTGATTTTTAGAAATACGTCAAAAATTGCCTGTTTATTACATGTAAGTTCGTAAACAAATCACTCGTGGGAACACAGAGCTTCGATCAATTCAAGTTTGCTCACAACTTTTTCATTTCGCTTGAGCAACTCGAATAAACACGTTACACCTAACTGACCCATTGAGATTGATTGTATCCATGGTACAATGAAAAGGTTAGGTTGTTGTAGCCGTTTTACATGTTCCGTTGTTTTTCTGACTATCCCGGTTCTTCCTCAATGTCCAGGTTTAGGAATTCTGCTACCTTTATGGGCTGTAGCCATAAATCCTCTGGACGGAGTTGGGTAGGTTTGGCTGGACAATTAAACAAGTGCAGCGTGTTGTGCGGGCCTGTATCGCACGCTGGGCAGGCGTTCCGCACATCCTCATCAATTCGTGTCCAATACGAATTGAGACGGCTGCACCATCCTGAACGTAGTTGGGCCAAAACTACCCTGGTTTGCCTAGGCAGCCGACGTTCTTCAGCTGCAATGGATGGGGGGTTAGGTAGAACTCCCAGCTGATTACAATTTTATTCTAAGTGTGCCCGACTTCTGCCAATTTTGTGTATGTATTTGTTGTTTTGAAAAATAAATACAAAATATTTTCAAAATCAATGATTGGAAGAAACTTAGATTGCGGGGCGCGCATTAATGATATCAACCGGATTTGCCATGAAATTGAAAGATTGAACACTTAGGATCATATTCTTGAAAGAACATCCAGGCATTTTATTCACTTTTCATGCTATTTGACTCGCTTTAGAAATTAACAAAAAAATATCAAATAAATAAAAACAACTTGTTGTCCATAATTTTGAATAATTCTGATAGGAAGCGGGCATAGCCTCAGGGCTGTATTTCTGTAGTTTTATGAAGCTGCTCTACCTCCTTATTGTACCATGATTGTATCTACACTAAGTGTGATCAAGCCTACTCAATCATACTCATTTATCTAAGTAGTCATTTTACGGATATTATTCAGTCAATTCAAATGAGCCACGGCAAGCGCCTTGTTGTTAAACCCCGAAAAATCTAAATGTATTATAATCCATAAAAAAGATTGCAAAACATTAACATATTTGTCAACAACGAAAGGGTACAAATAGTTTCCAGTGTAAAATAGTAATATTCAGACTTTTGGAAAGTTGCGTACTTATGCCACTTAATGTACGTTTGCTTCTTGCTAAAGCCATTCTGGTTCGTAGATTGCTTTATGGTTGCGAACTTTTTGCACATTGTGATGCAATGAGTTTACGAAAATTGGAAGTAGCTTTTAACAGCATCATTCGATACGTCTTTAGCTTGCGAAGGTCGCAACTTGTCTCACAATACACAATTCCCCTCTGTGGTTTGAGTTCTATTCTTAACATGAAGTCATGACAATGTCTACACAAAATCATCATTAACCAAAAACCTAAATACATCTTTCAAAGATTAAAATTTGCTAGATCCAGCAGAGGAAGGACTAAAATGCCACTGAGACGACGTAGTCTGGTCCCGGAGTGACAGCTTTATATCGACACCATACGTCTTTGGAATGCTCTTCCACATCACTTACTGGGCATCAGCAACGCATTTCCATCTTCATAATATTATAGTAAAATACTGTTTTTTCATTTTTTTTAACTTTTTGTAACCTTTTGTGGTGTAAACTTTTTAACTTAATTTAAACGTAACTTAACAATTTCAATTCAAACCCTATATACATCAGAATTGAGCCGGATATGTACTATGTACTGTAATTTATAAGTCTTTGTCTTGTTGTGCAGGGGACACAAATTAAATTAAATAATGTCGCTAAAATCATCAAAATATTGGTACCGTTATATGCACGAATACTTGAACCAACAGGGCCCATTTATGAACTCAACTTGCCTACTGGCAAAATACACATGTGTGCAAAAGTTGAGCCTTTCAGCTCAAATCGTTCCAAGATAGCATGATTACAACAGACAGACGGACATCGCTAAATTGACCTAGAATTTTACGCTGATAAAGAATATATATACTTTGTTGGATCTAACATGAGTATGGTGGAGTTACAGACCTAAACCGTGGACATAGGTTCAGAATTATTCAAAATTATATGCAACAAGTTTATTATTTGAAAATTTTTAATAGGGTTTAAAAGCGCGAAAAATGAACAAATTTAATGCCTGATTTTCCATGTGATCCAAACTGTTGAGTATTTCAATTCAATGGCAAAACTGGCTGTGTACGTTTCTTCTAATCATTGATTTTAAAAACCGTTGCCTTAGTCAGGCTCTAATTCAGCTGTATACATGTTCGTGTTTGTTTATTTTTCTTTATTGGGAGCAGCACATCCCGGAATGCTTGCTCCGGATTCTTTTGGTCCGTGCCAGGATTGAGGAAAACCCCGGACCATGGTTCTGCACGCCTTGCCAAAACATCATCCACCACAGACCAGTCTCGGTGCGATGTAATAGATGCGGAGGATGGGTGCATTTTAGGAATTGTTCCGGTTTAACCCGGTTGCGAGACTAGAGCGATGTTGCATCGTGCTGTACCAACATAGTTCCCAGTGAGCCCACGACCTCGTCGTCAACTTCTGAGTCGTCGTCGGAGTATAGGACTCCCCCGCAGTCTCCAGAACAGCAACCTTCACCGCAGCACCTAACGCCACATGTTGCTGTTCAAATTCCGGACAGTGCATCATTCTTGCAATTCAATTGCAAGGGACTCCGAGGTAAAATTGATGAGATAGTGGATTTTATGAATCGGAGGAATGTTAAGATCGCAGCGGTGCAGGAAACCAAGCTCAATGAAAATTGTAGCTTACAACGTTGAAATGGTTACAACGTATTGAGGAAAGATCGCACCAGAAGTGGAAGTGGGGGATTAGCGTTCCTGTTCGCTTGAGCTGGTCTCTAGTGACTCATACATGGAATGTATGTGGGTAGCAGTCAAGTGTGGAACTGCCGAGGCAAGGCAATTACCGCCTAGTACTAGGGGATTTCAATGCCCACCATGAGTTGTGGCATTCCGTCCTAGGTAATGACCAGAAGGGATCAGCGTTGACAGAGCATATTGACTGCTTCACATTTTGCACGGTAAACGAGGATGCCCCCACCCGAATAAGAAGATAGTGTCACAGTTCGCCAGATTTAACCATTGTGTCACCCGGTCTGATAAATGACGTGATTTGGGAACCCGTCATTTCTCTTGGCTCAGACCATCTCCCGATAATCGTCTTCATTTGATCATGTATGATCTAAGAGAGCGCCTAGATCATAAAGCCTATCAAGCGGGTCTTTATAGCATTCATACTTATGCAGTCGCTGAGGTAGTAAACAACACCTGTACTTACCACTAGAAAAACTTGTCGGCAACATCTGCGTTTCGAATCAAAATGTAGTCAAAAAACATTATACAGTATGTTAAAATTCCATTTTGTTTATTTGTAAAATTTAAAATTTTATTTATAAAATTCTTTAATTTCAATAACATAAATAGGTATTTAGGTGTGTATGTATTTCCATAAATAAGTTTTTCAGCGTCGTATATTATGCACACGGAAAATAATTATGGGTAAGTGGCTGATTTCAAAATGTCAGGACCATTATGTTGAATTACACAAAATGCAAGGTATACCATCTGAAAACGCCTATTAAGAAATAAATCGCGTAGTCCTTGTAGCTTTGTATTTTATGTTGACGAACTTAAAACAATGAACGGTTTTAGCACCAAATAAATGTTGGTTTTAGAGATATTGTTGTTTAGTTGTACAGTCGGAGACAGACTTTGTTTGACACATTTTGAAAGTCAGCCGGTATTGGAGGATAATATTATTATTTACAAGAGTATATTGTTTGTTTTGTATCAAATAAAATACATGTGTATATTAAGTCTTTTTGCAATTTACAATGGTAGATTTTTATATCTTAAATTATGTATTTGCCGTATTTATTGGAATAATAATAATCGATTTCTTTTTCAAAACTTCAGCGAAATGTTCATTCGTTGAGCTTGTAATTGGCTTTTTTAATAAAATAACAATCTCTCAGCCTTGAATCTCTTCTAATGAATTTGCAGTTGCAATTTTTCGCTAGAAACTGTGCACGAACACCTATAAAAATAGGTAGAGAAACATAAAAGAACATTTTCAGAATCAATATTCCAGCCAATCCTTAACGCACTTTAAAAATTTTGGTTGATCAATATATTACGGCATACCAGCCCTTGTAATTTGACTTCACAGTGCCCACCCTTGTGAGCATCAGTAAAAGTAGTGTAGTTTTAAAAACTGAATTGTGTTCCATCTTACACATTTGCAGGGTGAACAATTTTTTAAATGCTAAAAACTGCAACAATATTTTTTTAAAACAAAAGATATTTGGCAACTGTTCCCCATGCTCTTCTATATGTATATAAATACTTTGTTTAATAGCTTTCACAGTAACTAAAAAAAAATATTTATATCTTTATTATTTTAAGTTGAGTGGCACAAAAAAGACATTGATCAACACTTATAAAAGACCCTGCTAAATTTAATGAAAGTGGTTCCATGTGATGTCATAATTTCTCATATTTATTGAAACAACTGAACTTCTCATCGAAAACATCTCGACTCCTTCACATTTCCTTATTTACGTTGTTAGTTTAACGCATTGAATTAAATTGGTTTATATTTCAATCAATTGTAAAAAAACAACTAATTTGGCCATTTTTTTTTTTTTGTAATTTCTTTGATACCGAGGCATTTGTCTGTCATCAGTACTAATATAGTGACTTTAAAGATCCTCTTTTTCTTATTTATTTCAAATATGTCGCAGAAACGAAAATGCCATGTCAAAGCATCCGGAATAGGTGAAAATGCACAAAATATGTCATGATAAATCACCTGCACCGACGAGATATACGCCAATAGTTTCGAAGATGTGAACTTTTTGAATTTAGAAATCATTATTACGAGCGGCATTCAATTTGCCTATATTTTCGTGAGGCTGAAGTTATGCAGCGATATTTACCCTATCAAGGGCTTGGCTTTATGGTCCCCTGGCAGACTCTAAACGGCACACTTGCTCTTGCCCCAGGTCCACCTTGGCCAATGGTCTATGTCACTGCTAACCCATGTATATCGAGTTTTTAAAAGAATTGTCTTAAAATATTGTACGTGTGTGTGTAAATCTAACTATAAATAAATCCTATGTGCATATTTTCATGGTTGTATATATAGATATATGTATTTTGTATAATTTTTGTATATTGAGCACAATTATATTGTGTCGTAAAATATTTTAACAATTAACATTAATGGCAAAGTTGTGATGAGTATCGAACTAGATATTGACTGCTTAAGGTGTGTGTGTGTGGGTGTATGTGTGCTCCGAAAATTTATTTGTGAGAATCAATGAAAAATAAATACATCATATAAAATATAGTGCCCTATCCTTAATACGATATATTTCTATGTTATGTACACAATATTTACTTATTAATCAAAAAATATATGTATATGTTGGCCACAAATGGATCGAAGCATGATACAAGCATATACAAAATAGGACAGGTTGAAAACAGAGTCATGCTAATCCCAACAATCCTCACAACAAAAGTAACAATTTATTTTGTTTATATGACACTTTTTTAATTTAGGGCAAAATCACGAAAACGAAGGGAACATCAGGGGATTTTCACAATAACGGGTTCGTAATATTGTTATATTTCAAAACTAAAACAAGTATTTCCAAAAAAAAAAACGAATTTTAAACTGAATAGATCTTAAAACAAGTAAGCAAAGGCTACAGTCGAGCGGGGCCGACCGTTGAATACCCTACAACACTATAATAAACCATACAGTTTATATAGGCGAGATACTCGAAAGAATTCCACAAAATATTGTGACAAATAAAAAAGAAACCATCAGGTTTCGTCCTCTAATTTTCGATTAATTGCAACTTAAACGAATTTCCTCATTTCCAATTTATTGGTAGATGTTGTACGTAAATGGTCTTCTTAGATCTGGAACCAATATTTCCCAAAGACCTATAATCTCTCAGAAGTGGCAAAAGATTAATATTTATTATTGGTTTTTGACTGAAACGCATCTATATGAGATACAGACATTTGACTATATTCTTCCACGAAATCAGCGTTAACGAAATAGTCAGAAGTGCTTCTTTCCTGTATTTGTGAATTCTACAAAGACACTGGAATGGACATTTTCGTATTTTGTCTACAAAAGTTGGCAAACTATTTCGCACATTGAATATTTTTGGATGGCCATCCAAAACTGCTTGGCTTTTGCAATGTCCGGTAACCCCAATTCAAATTTGCGTGAGGATCGGGAGATAATTACTACCTGCTGACAATTTTGCAGTTTTTTGGTCCATTTCAACCCCTAGATATATTGCGATCATCTCCAAAAAAGAATAGGCTTCAATTCTGACCTTCATCTTATACCCACGCAAAATTTCGTAAGGATCTGGTCATAAATGCGATCTGTATATGATATCCTGATATCCTAACTACTTAGTTTTGTTAGCTGTAGAAATATTACCAAATGTTTAATTCAAAATGAAAATATGCCAAAAATATGACAAAATTGAAAAAATATGAGAAAATTTTACAAAATCAATATTTTCATCTTTAGAAAGATATTTTTATGCGATTTTTTAGACGTTTTATGTTTCCTGCCAAGAGGCCATTCTGAATTAATGAGAACTGTCGAAATCAGTTCAGCCGTTCTCGACATATAAGAGATCTTTCAAGCATATCTTCTTTGATAGACATATATATCGCACATATTTTGCAATATATCCGATTTGATGGATGTTAACATCAATGTAAAGGTCAGAAGTAACCTTGTCATGGCTTCGTGATTTCGCCGGGATTTAAAATATTCCCGGTTTAATGAAAAATGTTGAATTTTTTCAACACAAAAGATATGGTCTATTTTACCCGCTAAATATTATCCGATGACCACCGAAATTGGTAGGCTTCTTACCCGCCCTAAATTCTAGCGTCGATTGGTCTATAATTGCGACCTGTATAGCTATTGCAAAATCCGATATTTTTTCAGTATTTGGTCCATTTCAACCCCTAAACATTTAGCGATCATCTCCAAAAGAAATAGGCTTCTATTCTGACCCTAACCCCACCTCCATTCTAAATTTCGTGAAGATCGGACCATAATTGCGACCTGTAGAGTGATTACAAATTAACATGGACAGACGGACAGACGGACGGACGGACATACATAGCTAGATCGACTCAGCTCGGCGAGCTAGGAAGATCCATATATACTTTCCTATATGGGAAACCAATATTTCGAGGTGTTACATAAATTCTGGCCCAATCAAACTTATAATACCCCCAACACATAGTGTTGTAGGGTATAAACATTAAAATTAAATTCCCATATTATTCGAAACAATACATTCACATACAAAAACTACGTATGTGTTCCAACAGAAGTACACCTTGTATTCAGCAGGTGATTACTAGGCATTCCTTGTAACTGATTGTATCATGCGTCGAAGGACTTTTCTTATTCTGGGATAACACCTAAAAAAGTCAATATGAATTTTTGTTTAAATATTATATCTAAGGATAATAGGATGAAACAACAATTGTTTAAACAGTCAATTTAATAATAACAACAAATTGTCTTGAATCGACAGGTAACTAGCACAATGAATTTCAAATTCGAGAAGTTAGATAAGTTGTTGCCTATGCAAAAACGCACATTCATTACTTGCTCCTATCCTAGCGAGGAGCATGACCTATGACTTGGACCGTAGTAGGACATTGTGTCCAATGAAATTAAGTATTTAATTCCTTCGCCAGTGCAACGTTGGTGCCAAAGTTCGCCAATTGTTGTTGTGTTACATAACCGTAAATGGTATTGTTGTTATTATTTGGTTGTTGGAGAACCGCTGTTCCTGCAGTTGCTGCATTTGGCGAGCGTATGTCTTTGCTACGAAGGTCTATGTCCTCCAGATCTGTGATGACTGGTGATGTTTGTGCTGGCCCACTGTTTGTTGGAAAATTCTGCGAATGCGGCAATGCAGTGTTGGTGGGCGACGTCACATTTTGTACCGTTCCATTGTCAGGCATAGTGGTCATCTTGCTAAGTGCTTCTATGCATGTGTAACCATTTTGTGATGTTGGTGGAGGTGGATGATGTATTTGAGGTTGAAACTGTAAAAAGAATTTTTTAAAAAAATAAGTTTTTTAACCAATTTTTTTTTGCAAATTGAAAATCATAACTGTTCCGTCGTAAAAATCGCTACAGATAAGTTGATAAAAAACACCACAAATCTCTATTGACTTAAACCAAAAACACTATGGAAAATTGCAAAAAAAAAAATAAACAACGGAAATAATCAATCGTTAGAAAGAGGAAAAAATCATAAATATTTAAGAATTCAACTAATTTATTTGGAAATATTTTAATCTTTTTTAAAACGGCTTTAGCATAAAACAAACTAGGACTTAATCAAAAATTCTTCCCTTAAAGAACAAATCTAGACCACACATGTACCTACGTTTCTCAGTTTATTTCCAAACTCATTTATTTTATTCCTATATATTATTTCATTTCAAGGCCTATATAAGGTCGGCCAGTAAGCCAATCTCTTCAATAAGTTTGCTATTAAAATACATAATTGTGATTTGAAATTTGAAGAAGTCAAATCACAATTCTGATAAACTAACATATATTTTTTCAAAGCAGCCTTGTTGTCCAACAGTGATGAAAATAAACAATGATACGTATAAATCGCTACAACCGCTACCATAAAAAAGACAAAGTCGCTGCTGTAGCGATTTAAAAAAGGAAATTGATACAATTCTTAAACAGTGCTTTTTATGAGCCAAAAAATGTGAATTGTGGTGTGTTAAACAAATGATACTATGAAACTTACCAATTGTTTTGCAGCACTCGGCTGAATGTAACCGTCGGTGGTCATGGCTGGAAATGGTGTGTGAAATGATGGTGGAACTGGTCTTTCCGCTGTATTCAGAAGAGAAGCCAACAGCTGGGTGTTGTGCGTTACATAACCACTATTGTTTAAGGTGGGCTCAATGTCTTCGTCATTATATTCGATCTCGTCGCTATTCATTTCATCTTGCAGTTGTTCCACTGAGGCAACGTCCAATGTTGTATTTTTGCTATCAATCTCTGACAGTTTTGGTATTTGATGATGACTATGATAGTTCAAATTGGAATGCGAACTAGCACTTGAATTAGAGCTTAGTTCTTCGTTTGTGGTTTCAAGGGATGGATGCTCGCCCATGTTGTCATCGTTGTGATGATCCTTTGAACTGCTCGACGATGAGAGCGATGACAAGGGATTTGGTGACCGATTATGGAAATTTGAAATTAAGTTGAGGTTGTCCTTGTGCTCGAATGCAACGAGACAATCATTACTACGCGAAATATCCGAGTGAAATTCTTTCTTTGCACCTGGATCCAGAGCGCAGTTTTTGGGAAGGGTACTTCCGGCCAATTTGTAATTGGACTCTTGATCCACTAGACCCTCTGGTAAAATAACCTTAATATTTTTCATTTTGTAGTATTTGTTGCGTACCCAATAACAAAGGTAAGTTGCAAAAGCAATTAAAATAACAAAGGCTACTGCATATAGCGAAGCCTTTGTGTCGGGCGAGCAGTAATACGAGTGCCGAGCATCTATCCAGGGAGACGCAAAGTATGACCTTGTGTCTCCCTCGACCAGCAACTCATAATTGTAATTCTCCTTTTCACTGTCTGGCTTACAAAAGCTTGGATCAATTTTGGCCCCAGCTAATATTACGTCTTTGTTCATTGATTTTATTTCCCTATCAATTTCGTTTTGTTTGCCGACATTGACGGCTCGCACTTCCAGGGCGTAAGACATTTTAGATGACGTGCACTCTGGCACTTGGAACCGGCAACTGCGTCCCCTTACGACCGAAACACGTTCATAAACAGACTCATTTTCAGTATAGCGATGTATCAACGCCACAACATAGAATACATGTTGACCAGATGGCACATCGGGCTGTTCCCAATGGATAACGGGCTCGTAGTCCGAAATACTGATATTTCGGGGGCTGGATGGAACTGTAAAACAATAAACTAATAAATCCATTTCAAACAAAGTTTCAATTCAATGCATACTTCCGATTAATGTTTGTATAAAAACTGATCTGCTGGGTTCCGACTCTTCGACTGTATGTGCTGTGACGTAGACTTCATAGTCAGAGAAACTACTAAGACCTGTCAGCTCGAAAGAGGTTTGATTAATGTCGATTGTAGCGGTTTCAAATGGTTTGTATGTCTTTTTTCGCCTAGATTAAAGAGAAATTATGTTGTAATCCATATCTATACTAATGAAGATGATCATGTTATAATATATTTGTATAAAATATTTATATAAGAATAAAATATATAACAAGAATGCAAAAATCTTATTTTTCCCTTAAGTTTTTTTTTTTTTTTTGAGTTATAGCCATGCCATACAATGGTGCTAGTTTCTTTCTGTTCATATATTCTATTATTAATATGTTTAAAAATAACGCCGAGATGAAAAAAACTGCAACCAACTTCAGACTGTCATTTCTAAGCCACTCGCCCGACAGCTGTTAAATTTATTCCAGTGACAGGTCATTATATTGTTTACAAGCGTACAAACGCCGAATTTTCCAGAAAAAAAGCTATGGCTCGTGAGCTGAATATATCGCAATATCCCATTCGGCAAATATTGAAAAATGAGCTCGGGGTAAAGCCATTGAAATTTCAAAAAGTGCAAGAACATACACCGCAACAGAAATAAAATAGACTCAAAAGAGCTAAAGAGTTACTTCGCTTGGCCGAAAGTGGTGATCTGCCGAACTTAGTTTTCTCCGATGAAAAAACATTTGTTGTCCAGCAGTTTGTAAGCAAACAAAATGATCGTGTTTACTTGCCAAAGAAGTCAGCTTAAAATGTGTACCTTCGGTTGGCCACCAGAACTCATGGCGATGGTGTGGTCCGCCATAATCGACCGTGGCATCAGTATAAATGCCGAATATTATCGCGAAAATGTATTAAAGCGTGGTGTATTGAAGCCTTAGGCACGCAAACATTTTGGCTTCAGACCTTGGACATTCCAACAGGACTCAGCACCATCGCACTCAGCACGCGCCACCCAAGAATGGTTACAAAATGAGGTTCCTCACTTCATTTCCAGTGCACAATGGCCATCAAAATCTCCGGATACCAATCTGTTGGACTATTGTGTCTGGATTATTTTGGAAAGCAAGGTTGGCATTAAAAAATACCAAAGTGTCGATCACCTCAAGCAAGCGCTTCGCCGGGAATGGGCCAAAATACCGCAGAGCAACATTCGGCCATAATTTGTGGAAAGGTGACTAATTCGAACAAATCTAAACTTATTCTAAAATTTGATGCTATTTCCAAAATTGTTTGCTTTCATTTAATAAAATTTTAAAAATTATGGCGTTTGGCTTTGTTGCAGTTTTTCATCTCACCCTGTATACAATTTTATCAAGTCTTTTTTATTTTTGTTATTTCAAAATTGGATATGTCGACTATTTGAATATATTATACCGAACACTTGCAAGAAACATGTTTTCATTTAATTTTAAAAATTCGCCTATTGATTTTTTTAAATTAAATCTATACCGAATTTTAAATTGTGTAATGTAACCAACAATAATTATATATGTAAAACTGTAGTTATAGACTCATGAATTTGGTTTTACATCAAATGTATGAGATTGTGTAAACAAAGACACCAAACTTACCAATATACTTTATAACCAGTCAATATGCCATTGAGAACATCTGGTGGACTCCATTCAATTTTTGCCGATTTACTTGTCACTGTTGTCCGATTTACTAAAACGTTCTTTGGTGGCGATGGAGCTGATAAGAATAAACATAAATGTATAGATTTAGACCAATATTAAAAAAAAAAAACGTATAATTTTTTGCTCTCGGCTTACCGCTTGCTTTGGTGCGCACGCATGTGTATTCGCTGACAGGTCCCTGATTGCTCGGCGAGAACATGAACATTGTGATGCAGACTGTGGTATATGGGGACAGCCTTTGTATGGTATAGTTGCGGTATTCACGGAAAAGTTGAATTGTGTGTTGGGGGCTGATACATTTTCTCTCATCCGAAACTTGACAATATGTCAAATTGTAACCTTTCAGGATTGAAGAACACACGCTGCCCGAGTTCCATTTCACCAACACGGAACTATCGTTAATAGCTGTAACTTCCAGTTCGACTTTCATAAGTTCACTGGATACTTCGGCTGAACAGCGAGCCCACTGCATGCCTTTATTGTAGTGTGGATAATTGGCAGATATGGCCAAATTTAAACTGCGATCTTTGGGCTCCGTGGTAAAGTTGGTTGTGTACTTGTCCAAATACTTGTAGGAGATGGGACCCTAGACGAGTATAATTGCATGACTTAGTTTTGATTTTCGAAATTAGGGCTTTAAACATCACTTACCTTGCATTGATTTGGTAATTCAATTTTCGGCAAACACCAAAATACTGTGTAGTTGACCAATTCGTTGAGATTTGCCGGCGGAGACCAGGATAGTGTATAGCTGCTGTTGTGATAAACTTTGGCAATATTGTTCTCGTTTAGCTCATACTGAGGGCTGCCGCTGCGATAGACATTGATGACGTTGTCCTCAACACTCGGACCAATATCGTTGGCCGACCTGATGCTGAAACGCTGCATGCTTACATTTTTCCAGGGCAAAGACAAGGTGGTGTCATTAACAACTGTACTTTGTCTGTAAGGGATAAAAGGACATTTAGAGAAAGTTCCCGCTCTGCAAAAAACTTCATTTACATTACAAGACCATCTGAATCGATTTCATTGACTAGATAATGAAAGCCAGGGCCGCAATGTTCGAACTCGGGCAGATGACCCCAGTAGAGGCGCAGCTGTGTCTCAGTGCTGTCGATGTAAAAACTTCCGCATGGTGTATCGGGAGCCTTGTCGGGCCGTTTTGTTTTGGTGCTAAAAGTTCGCGTGGATGTTTTACTCCAGAACCGGTCATTCTGTGCATCGACAATCTTAGATTTCACACGAATCTCTACGTGGTATGTCCAGTACGAATACAAATTATTAACGATAACGGAGTCTTCGGGGTGTACCATTGTGCCAGTTCGTATCCAGTTGGCTTCGGGAATTCTAATTTCATATAATAAACCCTTGCGATAGTAGCTGAATTTGATTTTTTCCCATGTAAGCGTAGCACTGTTACTCGTGATGTTCTGTACACGCAGTTCTAGTGGTGATGGTATTACTAGAAGAAAAAAAACAAACACAACATTAAGGAAGATTCAAGGAGCTATGCTAAGCACAATTGCATGAGTACCTATTTTGTGATTATTGATAACAAATTTTTGGGCCTTTCTGCCGCCAGCATTATTGCCAATCAAAGTGAAAAGGTATTTGTCTCTAATTGGTAGGTAATTTGTGATGTTGCAGTGCAATTTTTGAAACTGTTCCGGGTCTTCGGAAAGTTTGCATTTGTGTTTGGAGTTCTGAAAAATAAAGTTTTTTTGCTTAACTCTGTGGCATTCATGGTTGTCACGAACGGCTACTTACATCATTAGCAAATCTGTACTCCAGTTCATACTCGGTCATGAGCATGTTCTCTGGTCTCGTAAAACTGCATTGCATATATTCGTAATCATAGACTATGCAGGAAAAATCTGTAACATTTTGTGGCGATTTTCCTGTTGTAGAGGAAAAGAAAGGCATATTAGCTATACATATGTACTCAAATTAAAATATAATATTCAGAGGCAAATCTTGACATTTGACAACTTACCAACATGAAGTTGGGATAATCCAATGCCCTGCTTGTCCACCATGCACTGATACCAACTTTTTTGTTCTGTAGCATTCTGTATTATTAATGCAGCCGTATATTGATCTATTATCTGAAAATTGACATGTTTTTATTTTAGATTTTTTGGTTTCCATTGCTGTTTTTATTTTAGATTTATTTGGTTTCAATTGCTGTTCGTCGTTTGAAAATAACAGCTAGTTGAGTTTAAATTATATCCGGACTGTGGCATAGGGTATTGTTTTGGTATATTTGTTTGCAACATGAAGAAAGCTGCGAGATAGGCCCATAGTTATTTTTGATGATTTTTATAGAGTCAATTCGAAGCTTGTCCCATAGAGATAAAATACAGCACATTTGATTTATATGTCTCAAGGATAAACATAATAAACAATAAACTACATTTTCCTTATAACTCTGAAAAATCAAAGTTTTGAGGGGACCCGGCCGCAGGGTCTTTGTCCGTTCCAGACTCCCATTTATGAGATCATGTTCGGAACCGATTTTGTATTAAGCCTTCTCAAAATTACAATGATTGTAACTTAAAAACTACTTCAGTAGCGTAGTTCATATCTTGCATAAAGTTTTAAGATTTTCCACTTTTCTAGTTAACGATCATTCTAGTTTTCAAGATCAAGTTTTGAGATTTTCCACTTTTCTAGTTAACGATCATTCTAGTTTTCAAGATAAAACTAGTAACCAAACGCTTTAGTTGTGCGGGCCGACCATGTGATACCCTACAACACTACAATATATTATCCTTAGGTCCAAACACATTTTAGTCGATTATATGAAATAATGCCATACTGTCCTGCACAAATACCTGCTAAACGAAATTGACAGCCTTGCAATATTTGCTTATCGCTACCAATATCATGATCTCATACCGGCAAAGGGAATGGTCACTTGACTTTTTCTACTTTTTGATATGACGACTTGGTAGAAGAACATAGGTAAATGCATCAACGCTCGGCAACATTGATATGTAAAGAATTTTTAAGGTTTTGCTCAGAAATCATTTAATTTTCATATGTTTATACGATGCCATTCAGATGATATCACGATATGTATTTTTCAACAGCTTTAACAAATTCGAATAATTTTTCTTTAAAGATTTTTAATTCCAAAACTTGGTACAATGAAATGAAGGTAGGGTTATGATGTCATATGATTATACCCTACACAACAAGTGCATTTGTTTGTAACAAGGAGAAGGAAACGACATAGATCCATAGTTCCTTTTGGTGATCAGCATAGAATCACATTTTGATTCGATTTATGCATGTCCGTCTGTCCATTTTTTTTTGTAAACAAAATGCAGATCGCATTTTTTATTCGATTGAGAAGAAATTTTCCAAATAACATGTGTATGGCTCAAGGACGAACCCTATTGAAAATGGTGAAAATCTGTCCACATTTAGAAATAGCTCCCACATATATCTGGCCCAAATGGCTAATATCAGTTCAAATAGAGTGAATTTTGGCATTTCCTACCGAATTCAGCTTACAAGCATGTACTTCAAATTTGGTGAAAATCGGTTCAGATATAGCTATAGCTCCCATATATGTGTTTCATCCGATTTTATGTTTATTGTGCACCAAATGGCTAATATCAGTCCAAATGGTGTGAATTTTGGCCCTTCCGACCGAATTTAGTATAGAAACAAGTACTTTAAATTTGATGAAAACCGGTTCAGATATATCTATAGCTCTATAGAAAAACAGAAACATGCCAAATTTAGACCACATTCACGAAGAGTTTGTCCTTTGGATTTTTTTATTTCAAAGCAAATGGCAAGCGTGCAGGAAACTGCATCTTTTGAAGTTGAGTGGCATTTCTGTTGCAATTAGAGAATTCGAGGTAGAAACATACATCCCCGTAATAATCGTATCCTCAATTAGCTTGTTGTGAAGTTTTTTACTTTTAGCCTAATACCATTGCAAAAGCGTTGTGGGTCAATGCTTCTTAATAAAATCATATCCCAATCTGAACCAATTTCAATATAATTTGACAAAATTTACTTTTACACCAAATTCCGTCACACCTTCCATATTTCATTGAAATTGGTGCGTCAAATATGTGAATGCGGCCGAGAATATATATCCAAATCTTAACCGATTTCCAATTAATTTGTCAAATTTATTATTGTAGCCACATTCTGAATTTAATTGGCATCGATCATATATATCGTGTTTGGTGCACATAACATACATGAATATTATGTAAAATCGGCCGAAAAAATATATAGAAGCTGCATCCAAATCTGAACCGATTTAAATATAATTTGAAAAATTTATTTTTGTACCAGATTTAGTCATTGGAATTGGACATACGTATCGTGTTTGGTGCATCAACTATGTGAAATCGGCTGGAAATATGTATGGGAGCTATATCCAAATCTGAACCGATTTCAATATAATTTGACAAATTTATTTTCTGATCAAAATCCCGCCGCACATTCCAAATTTCTTTGGAATCGAACAGGCATATCGTGTTTGGTGCATCAAATAAACGAAATCTGAACCAAATGTACATTCGTTTGAAATTCCGTTTCACATTCCAAATTTCATTGAAATGTGGCGTACACAGCCTGTTTAATGAATCAAATACATGAAATCGAAAATGCATGTGGGAGCTATATCCAAATCTGAACCGATTTCAATATAATTTGGCAAATTTATTTTTGTTTCAAATTCCGTTTCGCAGTCCAAATTTGGAGATTGTATCTGTAATGGATCAATAGATATGTGCATATAAAATCTAAATTCTTGGAGGTACCTCCGATTCTGATCCTGTATCTCCAGTTCCAAGTAGAATTTCATAAAATTTTTTTTTCGAGGTTTTCGAGTCCATAAATTACAAACAAACATACAAACGTTTTCCTCTTTTATAGATATAAAAGAAGAAGGTACAAAAGTGTAATACTGGTCGATAAAGTTCACCACATTTTCATGGAAAAACTTCAAATTTTTTCCTGCAAGACCAATATCTCATTCAGTTATTAAAGTTTTTAGAAGAGACACAAACGGTAAGATCTGTCTGGCATTCTTGTTATTCTTTAGCCCATGCCGCCTTGTATAAATTCAACAACAATTATTCTTTTTTATAGCGGCACCATAAAATAATTCTTAGATAACGATCTGATAATACTAATATTAATTAAATGATATGGCAGAAGTTCTGATTATCTGCTTAGAATTCCGAGAAAGTTCTTTCTAGCCAATATTGCAATGCATTTTGCATCGTAATGATAACAATTGGAAAAGATTGTTACTTTCTTGTAGCTCTTGTAGGTATACCGCTTTCTACCCCAGCAAGCGTTTTGCTATTCCATGGAAATGTGCGCGCCGATGCAAGTCACACTCAAATCAACACTGTCCCAAAACCATCGTAAAATACTCAACTCTCAGCAGACAAATGACATGCCAAAGAAATGGAAGATACACCGTGTTCGCCGAGCCGTGGAACTACTCTGTGAGTGACCGCGTTTAAGGCCACTGTTTGTTTGTGTGTGTGGATGGCGGTGCAGTCATTGGTTCTGAGAGTTCTAACTGTGTCCATTCTAATATATCAAAGAAGTGACAACAAGTTAATGGGAACTGTGAAGGCTAGCTGGCTGCAGTATTTGCATATGGGCACATCTTCGGGGGCACTTGTGTGCATACAGTGAGCGTAATTAAAAAGGGACATAGAAGAGAAATCGTATTAATACATTTATTTCAGTTCTATGATTTTTTGGAATAATGTAAAAATTTCAACTACAATATGCGCGTATGTACATATAACAAATTACTGGGTACATACTTTTAATTGGCCCGACTGTAACCTACTATTCACGGACATTTATTCTACAGTTGTAGCAAAAGATACCATTTAAATTGATCAGGCATGAATAATACATACTAACTAGTAGTGTTAGCACTACTCTATGTTTAAAAGTAGTAACCATTTTAGATTCCCATTATTTAGCTGAAATGCATTATTTAGCGAAAGAAAACTGAAATGCGAAGTTCTTATTTTGTACTGCAAGTTCTCACGAATCTTCTGATGGATAAGATGAATTTATCGCTAATATCTTCAGTTGTGTCACAGCATGTTCGAGTGACATTTAAACTAGATTGAACAAATAGTACGTGTGGTAGAATGTGAAATTGTCATTTGTCGCCAATAATTTATTAACAAATAAGAAAAATAATATAAATAAAAACTTGTTGTTCTGTCCCGTAAGGCTGTATTTAAGGCTTATTACCATTAAATACATTATCTGAGAATTGCAAGGCAGGGATTGTCACCAGTCTATATAGAATATCCATAAAATCCGGGAAAATGATTAAGAAATCAAGAAAATGATTAGCACTTTATATCGCTGCAAAGTCGCGTTATTTGTCATGGCTTTAATCAATGCAAAGGTTAAATAGAATGTATGGATTTCATTGTATTGCTTGTTTGAACTCGGTGTTACAAAGAAAACCAGTATACAGGGTGAGGTAAAAAAATACAACAAAGTCAAACGCCATAATTTATATTTTTATTATTGTTTTTTTTTTTTTTTTTTAATTTTGGTATTTTTTAGTGCCAACCTTGCTTTCTAAAATACTCAAGACACAATATTTCAACGGATTGTATCCGGAAATTTTGGTGATCATTTTTCCTTCAATGGCACGTGCTGAGTGCTATGGTGCTCAGTGCTTTTGGAATGTCCAAGGTCTGCGGACAAAATGTTTGCATGCCCAAGGCTTTAATACACACTCCAGAATATTTTCACGATAATATTCGGCATTTATTCTGATACCACGGTCGATTAATACCACACCATCACCATGGCCGGCGATTAAGTTCTGGTGGCCAACAGAAGGTGCACATTTTCGGCTGAACTCTTTGTCAAGTAAACACGATAATTTTGTTTGTTTACAAACTGCTGGACAACGAATGTTTTCTCATCGGAGAAAACCAATTTCGAGGGGTTATTAGCCACTGCGACGCAGGTTTCGATCAAGTCGATTCTTTACTTTTCGAACCATTTTTGCTGATGCTGCTGTTTTCTTCCGTCCACTTCCTTGACGTCGAACTACGCTACCAGTATCACTGTAATGAGCGATGGTACGAGACACAAAAGATAAAGAAATCACACCATGACGCTTTAATTCGATTACGAATAACTTTTTTCTGGAAAATTCTCACCAAAATGCTTTAGTACGCTTGTAAACAATATAATGAGCTGTCACTGAAATAATGACAGCCGTCTGATGTTGGTTGCAGTTTTTTCATCTCACCCTGTATAACCCAATATGGGATACTGGGACAGTGTAAAAAGTTTATTTGTCTAATGGAAAATCTAGTGGATCTCAGGAATAAATAGTCCCTTACAAATATACCATCTAAAATGTTGAAAAATATTTTCAGTAATTATTACCTGTATTTCGTCAGAAGGTTGATAAATTCCACGTTCAGAATTCTCCTTGTAAAACCATATTTCGGAACTTTTGGGTTCGGACAGACGACATGTTATCGTCCCATTTGATCCAATTAGCAGGGACAGCGTTTTCGGTTCCACTTCTAAAATGAAAAAAGAAATCAAAACATTTATCAATTATTTATATTTTCTCAATATTCTTTTGTTACCTTTGCAGGTAAATTGGATGAAATAACACGCTGATTGATTTTAAAAATCTCTTAAAAATTTGTGTTCTATCGATAGGACGGCCAAATATTTTTGTGATTAAAGCTTATACTACTGATAAACAAATCCTTCTGATGAATCGATGATAATTAAATAATAGACATGGTCTGGGGTATCAATCATGGTCAATGCCACAATAACAAGATGCTTGTGAATAGTTCAAAATCGAAATAAACCTAGTTCATAATGACCTTAGGAAACTAGGACCCCCAAAAGACTTTAAATCTGCTTCTAGTGCTTTATGGGTCAAATTGCGAAATTCGAATCAACTAGCTGTCGTTTTAGTTTGTAACGATTATTTTTGATTTTTATTTACTTATACGATATTTAAGTTTTAAAGACCTATATTTAAGAAAAACTAATGAAATGGACATTGGTCGTACTCCTATGATGATTAGTATTGAAATTTCCCCATGTCGTTGTCTCCATCATAAAGAGGTCAATGTAGTCCCCTGTTTTTACACAGGTGCTACAAATTGTTATCCGAGTGATTTTTGTCATGGTGAAGTTCCTAAGACACATTTCAGCTACAGTGTAGTATTTATGGCTTCCAATGGATGGAATATGTCGATATATATTCATGGACTCACTAAAATAATTATAATGGTTTTTGTTTTAATCAAACAGTGGTAACGACCGATTCGATGTATTTGTCACCGAAGTTTTTTTGTATTTTGAGATCTCAATGGGTATTTGTTATAACTTCTATATAATTGTATTACTCCATCTATCGCTTTAAAGGTATTATGAATATAAACCTTTACTGATAATTTCAAAATAGAAATGTATAAGCGTTGTAATTATTTACAATTTTGACCCTTTGTGGGGGAGGTACCTGATTGAGTGAACCAATATTGTCCATTTTCGCACCTGACCTAGCAAAGTTAAAGCAAAATCGGAGTATCCTTTCTCGTTCTGTGCAATAAATTATTTTCTTTAAAAAAGTTGACATTTTGTGGGGGAGGTTCTAAAAGGAGTGGAGCTATTCACCATCTCCAAACTCGATCTATGTGTGACAATAATATTACGATGTACCAAGTTTGGATCCAATCGAATATCGTGCGCAACAGCCAGCCAGACAGACATGTGGATGGATAGACATTGCTAGATCGACTCCAAATGTCCTGAAACGTATTTGGTCCAAAGAGACCTAGGGTCTTAAACCGTTTTTTCAATGAGGCACGTTCTGGCCGTATCAAATGATATATACCCTCTGTAGCCATATGGCTGAGGGTATAAAAATTAGGCGCAATATCTATAAAAGAGTAAAATAATTGTACGTTTGATTGTTTGTTTTTAATTTATAGACTCAAATACCGCTGAACAGATTTTCTTGAAAATTTCCAAATGTATTACAGCATAGCCTGAAGGTAACATAGGCTATATAAATTTTTGGAATTCCACTTGGACAGGGAGATATAGGAGGTACCTCCAAAAAATTTAGTTTTTGTAAGCACATATCTATTGATCGATTATAGATACAGTGTTCATATTTGGAGTGTGTAACGAAATTTGAAGCAAAAATCATTTCGTCAAATTATATTGAAATCGGTTCAGATTTGGATTTAGTTCCCATATACAGGGTATATGGTCCGTGCAATATTCCATTCGGCAAATATTGCAAAATGAGCTCGGGTTAAAGCCATTGAAATTCCAAAAAGTGCAAGAACTTACACCGCAACAGAAAGAAAATAGACTCAAAAAAGCTGAAGAATTGCTTCGCTTGGCCGAAAGTTGTGAACTGCCGAACTTGGTTTTCTCCGATGAGAAAACATTCGTTGTCCAGCAGTTTGTTAACAAACAAAATGATCGTGTTCCTCGCTTCATTTCCAGCGCAAAATTGTCATAAAATCTCCGGATACCAATCCGATGGACTATTGTGTCTGGAGTATTTTGGAAAGCAAGGTTGGCACTAAAAAATACCAAAGTGTCGATCACCTCAAGCAAGCGCTAAAATAACGCAGAGCAACATTCGGGCAGCGTCAGACGGTTTCATTGGCCATAACTCGTGCCAAAGGCCAAAACTCGTGCCAAAGTTCACCAATTCGAAAAAATCTAAACTTATTCTAAAATTTGAACATTTCTATTTCCGAAATTTTTGCATTCATTCAATTAAATTAAAAAATCAAAATTATGGCATTTAACTTTGTTGTAGTTTTTTTTATCTCACCCTGAATATAACGCACCTCGACCAAAAATCGTATTTCCATGTTCTATCATGATAACCTTTTAATTGAAGTTTTACAGTTGATTGTGATGCTATTTTGAATTTCTAATACGTAATTGTTAGAACACCATCATTGGAGGTATTTAGCTTTGTCCCTCTCACTATTGAGGGTAGTTTAAACTTAACGCTCTTCTATAGGGATATATAAATTTTACTATTCGGTTTGTAAAAGTACCGAAACATTCGTTTTCGATATTCAAAAAAAACCTCACATAATTTCATATTATAAAACTACTTTTATTTTCCCACTATCAACCTCAAAATTTGTTGTCGCATAAACAATCTCACATTTAACAAGAATGGGATGTCTGGCTGCGGAATTGAACGCAGATGTTCGGAGAGCGAAGCATGCATGCTTACCACTGCATCACATATAATCCTCAAACAGAATAATGTCTTGTTTTTGTTCAATTCTTACATGAATGTAAACTGTTGCTATTTTATCCGATAGAAGTCACGAAAAAGTGTTTGTACATGCGACACTAAGTAAGCTACGTATAAAACACCCACTCTTCGAGCAATCCCTTCTCGGACAAGTTTCACTCCCGAGTTGACCCGAGTTTGAATACGCAAGAACTAAATTAAATTGCATCACATTTCACATTGCATCACAAAAACATTTGAATTTGAATTGTTCGCCTCAAAAACTTATTAATTGAAAATGATTCGATCATTCGATTGTGGAATTACTCAATTGGCACGTAGAAATACATTCAGATTCTGATATTTATTTAGAAAGTGCCTTGTCCTCATTTCCATTCATATTGGTCAGAGTGTGAGATTTCATTGAAATTTGACAGCAGCGTGTTTCTAATGAGTTCGCAGAAAAACCAAACTATTAATAATTTTCGCACTGTACTATTTCAAAATAAAAATTACAAAATTTACAAATTTATTTTCTTTGTTTGAAAAATAAATCCAAGAAAAAAATGTATTGTTAATGATCTTCATTTGCGGCTTTATCTTGCGATTAAGCCTATAGAGTATAAATTCAAAGCCGTTGCCTAGCAACCGCGACTTATGTTTAAATTAAATGCTCAGCGTGATGGTACAAAAAGGTGAAAGGCATTTTTTATACCACATAGAGGTAAGGGTATTATGTCTTTTTCATTTGTTTGTAACATGGAGGAGGAAACGAGATAGAACCATAGTTCCTTTTGGTGATCAGCATAGAATCACATTTTGAGTCGATTTATGCATGTCCGTCTGTCCGTGTATTTTTGTAAACAAAATGCAGGTAGCATTTATTATTTGATTGAGATGAAATTTTCCAAATAACATTTGTATGGCTCAAGGACGAACCGTATTGAAATTGGTGAAAATCGGTACAAATTTAGATATAGCTCCCATACATATCTACAACCGATTTTAGATTCATTGTGACCCAAATGGCTAATATCAGTTCAAATGGAGTGAATTTTGGCATTTCCTACTGTACATGTACTTCAAATTTGTTCAGATATAGCTATAGCTCCCATATATATGTTTCATCCAATTTGGTGTTTAAGTCCCTCAAATTCGCAAAATGCACGATACAAAAATAATATTTGGTACCAGATATCAGATACAGCCAAGAAATGGCTGTTTTCAATTTTATAAAGATCGGTTCAGATTTGGATATAGCTCTCATATATATTATTATCTGATTTCAGGTTTATTGTGCACCAAATGGAGTGATTTTTCGCAATTCAACCGAGTTTAGCATAGAAGCAAAAATTTCAAATTTGCTGCCATATATATGTTTAATCCGATTTGGTGTTTAAATATCCAACTTTCAGAATATGCACTCTTCCATAATGATATTTTGTACCAGATATCTCATAGAGCTCAGAAATTGCAATATAAACCTTTCTTTTACGAGAGCTTTACTAAATATGCATATTGGCGCAGGGTATCATATAGTCGGCCCCGTTCGACTTTTGAGCTTTCCTTACTGGGTTTGGTTTACAATTGTATGATGTTAGAATGTGTGATTTGTGGAGTACTATTGTTATGTTGGCAAAGAAAAAGGAGGAAATGAATTAAAAAATTGCCTAATTACAGACATTTCAAGTTATACGAAAAGTACAAACAAAACGAAATACCCTCCACTATTACAACAAGAATTTGGTTTCATTATTTATATACAAATTCTGGGCCGAAGAGTCTTTGATATTTTTTTATTTCAAATCCACGATTCCTGGATATAATGCTTATGGCTGATCTTCAGTCCAATATCGACCAAATCTGCTTATGAGACAAAAATGACCTTCGTCGATTTCGATTTGCAAGCGTTGTTCGTTTTTAAGACGAAGATTCATGGTTAATTTATAGAAGAAGTGTGGCAGTGAAACAAAAAACAAATCGACTCCTGAAAGGAATTTCGTCTAAAGAAACCTAGGGCTTAATACCGTTATTCCATGAGACACATTTTGGCTCTGTAGCCACATGGCTAAGGATACAAAAATACACAACACATCCCATTTCAATATATTACGAAAAAAATTGGAATTCATTTCGACAACGACGAAACATTACATTCAGGTTCAATAGCCTGAAACGCTGACAATGTTATTCAACATATTTTTGAATGTTTATTAATAAATAAAATAACAAAAAGTGCAATTATTAAAATTTCCAATTGTAACATTGCTAACAAAAATAACAACCACAATACTTGACGGGATATCCAATCGATGGTTTTTGTTTTTGCGATTATTTTCTAGCTGCCACATTAGTTTGATAACGCGCCTACACTGGCGGCACGTAATTACACTGAAATCGCTAAGTAATAGGAGCCAGAGCAATTAGAGAGATTTATCAATAGAACACAATGGTGGCTTTACTCTTTTGTTTACACCTTCTAATGTGTAATTATGTACCTTCGTACCATGCGCACCTTCGTATCGCAATGGAGGCAATTGACCTTTGTTGGATATGTATGTACATATAACCCTTTAAAACAACAAATTGATTACTGAGTTCTTTTTTTATCTATTTACTTACTTCCAGGAGGATCTACAGACGTCGCTGCTGATACCAATCCCGCATATCCATTGAGCGTCAGCAATATCATCAGCCAACAACAAAAGCTGAAAAGAAAAAATATGAGATAAACATATTAATTAAGCAGAAGTGGCCGAGGTTGTTGACAATTTGTTCTGTATTTGATTGGCTTGTGATCACCGACACACGCCGAATGTCAATAAATATCTGTTTATGCATGAAGTGTAAAAGGAAACTTGAAGAGTTTGCAAACAAATCTGGGGGAAAATACAAATAATAGCACGTTTATACTATTGCCCTGCATGCATTTGGAAGTGAGTTACTCAATCCCTTTCTAAGATGGAACTTCTGCGACGCTTCGAATCCTGATAAATGCAATAGTATGTAAATTTACAATCACAAAACTACTGTAGTCTACTTTCTATCCTCACGGAGTTACTATGTATTGGCGTCAAGGGAGACAAAATAAGGTGTCGCGTGTGCAGACACTATTTCGTGACTTTCATCGGATAAAACATCGATAGTTTACAAGTATTTAAGAATTGAACAAAAATAAGACTTTATACTATCTGAGGATTATGTGACACTGTGGTTCGGTGGTAAGCATGCTCGCTTTGATCTCTGTACACCCGGGTTCAATTCCCAACCCGGACGAAAACGAAAAAAAAGTAATGCGTGAGTATTTCATCTGATTGGTATAAGTTCTATGCAAACATATATTGAAAAAGTACCAATAACAATTGGAAAACCAGTAAAGAACGTCTTAAAGTCGGGCGGGGCTGACTTTATGATACTCTACACCACTTTGCTAATTTTGTAGAGCTCCATTTAATCATACACACTATGATTATAATTGTAATTTAAAGTTCAAAGGACGGACATGTATTGCCCATTTGGTGCAAAATTAATTTGAAATCAGATAAAGATATTTATGGGAGCTAAACCGATATCGATAAAATTTGCAAAGATATTTCTGAGCTGTATTTGATATATTTCCCTGAATATCGTTGTTACGGAGTGCATATTACGGCTGTGGGTAACAAATACAACAAATCGGATGAACAATATATATGGGAGCTATAGCTATATTTGAACTGATCTTCACCAAATTTGGCATACTAGCTTCTAGACTCAATTCGGTCGCATGTGCCAAATTCTATCCAATTTGGGTAAATATTAGACGTTTGGTGTACAATAAAGAGTAAATCGGACGTAGATATATATGGGAGCTATATCCAAATCTGAACCGATCTCGATAAAATTTAGCAAAGGTATTTCTGAGCTTTATTTCCCCAAATATTGTTGTTACAGAATGTGTGTTACGGCTGCGGAGGAGGAAAATAGAAAATCGGATGAACAATATATATGGGAGCTATAGCTATATCTGAACCGATTTCGAAATTTAGTATACTTACTTTCAGGCCTAATTTGGTTGTATGTGCAAAATTACATACTATTCGGCTGATATTACACGTTTGGTGCACAATAAAACGCAAATCGGACGAAGATATATATGGGAGCTATATCTATTTTTTTACCGATTATCTCAAATTTCAATAGGGTTCAATTTCAATTGGGCCAAACAAATGTTGTTTGAAAAATTTCATCTCAATCGGATAATTAATGCGACCTGCATTTTGTTCACAAGAATACATGGACAGACGGACGGACGGACGGATGGACGGACGGACATGCATAAATCAACTCAGAAAAAAAAAAAAAAAAAAAAAATTTCTACCGCTTAGATGTGATTTCTAAGTCACTTTCGGGATATTTTTGCTTGCAGGGTAAATCCACTGAATTCAATGAATGTAGTGGGTAAAACTTTGTGTGTGTATCTAACCCTTAGGAGCCCTGCAAGCAAAGTCACTTAGAAGTCACACCAAAGTAAAAGAAATCATCGCGGTTGATATCGCTTTCTCATCGTGGAAGTGGCATCTTTCGGGAAGAAATGAACTACGCCAGGGTGAGATAAAAAACGGCAACAAAGTCAAACGCCATAATTTTTATATATTTTTTAAAATGTTATTTAATGAAAGCAAAAAATGTCGGAAATATCATAAAATTTTTCAATATTTGCCGAATGGAATATTGCGATGTGTTCAGCTCAGGAGTCATTTTTCGGCCACTGTGAAGCGGGTTTCGATCAAGTCGCTCCTTTACTTTTCGAACCATTTCTGCTAATGTTGCTGTTTTCTTCCGTCCGCTTCTTTGACGTCGGGCTACGCTACTAGCATCTCGGTAACGAGCGATGGTACGAGACACAAAAGATAGCCACTTGTGGGTTTCCAGCCAAATATAAATAAATCACACTATAACGCTTGAAGTTCATCACAAATAACCTTTTTTCTGGAAAATTCTCACCAAAATGATTTTGTATATTTGTAAACAATATAATGAGCTGAATGACAGCACTCTGAAGTTGGTTGAAGTTTTTTTCATCTCACCCTGTATACTCATACATACCTACGACGGGTCTGTGGAGCTTATAAATTAATAACGATTTTTTGTTATAATTTTCAACACAAACGTTCTATGCTGAAATATTTCGCTGTGAGAGCTATCAAAATTTAATTGTTTACGATGGCTGACCGCAAACCAAAGTCTGCGGTTTTCTTTTTCTATTTTTTTTTTAGATGAATATGGTTACAGTTGGTTGTTGTGCCTTGAATTATTTTTACATTGCATTTTTGAACGGTTTTTGAAATAAATAAATTCTGTGCAGTCGCTCCAAATGGGGTTTTTGTTTCTTATTTTTTTTTGTTACGATTAATACGAAATTATTTCATAGAAATCAAATCAACCACAAACTGAGCTACAATTTCATATCAGATACTTTAAATAATTTCCATAGCAATTCGAGCTAATTAGAATTTTGATTTAAGTTGGGTGGCAAGAAAAAAAGGATGAACAGTCATATACCTGAGATCGCGACGGATTTGTTGTAAGTTTCAATATTAATGTTGTGTGAACAAGTTTTTATCCGATCAGATACATTTTCAAATGCCAATGTAAGTTTTGGGTTAAAATTCAATTGGAAATACATTTAAAATGCAAATGTTTCCACGGGAATTCTAATTATTTCTAAGGCCACTGTGGCCCAAGAGTCAAATGTAATCGAATCCTTTCGCCAAACAACATAGCTATTGACAGACATCACACGTTAAATGGTGTGTTAAAATGTGCGTTTTTCTTCTGAAAGGAACTTATCTCGCGAAACTGTTCCACAAATCATCATCATTGGCCATGCAAACGTTTGTGGGTACAAATTGGGATACTCAAATGTATGGATGTAGGTATGTGCATGAGTACATGTATATGTATGCTGAGGTATGTATATTAGAGTGATCCTTTATAAATGTACACGAAAACTTGGTTGCCTACTATGTATCAAAAAAAAAAAAAATAATGCTGAGTAAGATCAAAATCCAGAATAGAGATCAATAAGGAACTAAACTCATTTTTAGAAGAGGCTCAAAACCTTCGTTGGGACTTCCAATGGTATCGACCGATATTGTCAAGTTTCGTACCCGATCTAAGACTGATACTTATATAATGTTGTCTCAAGTTTTCGCTTTATATTTTTTAATTTTTTAACTTTTTGACAGTTTTTGAAGGAGTGAGGTAGCCGCGTAGATCGATGGTACCCCGTCTTTACACTGGATCTAGTATTGATGGAGATATTGAGCTACGCAAAACATTAACAAATCATTTCGCATTCTCTTTAACTGTTGGAATGGTTACAAAATGAGGTTCCTCGCTTGATTTCCAGTACACAATGGCCACCAAAATCTTCGGATACCCATCCGTTGGACTATTGTGGCTGGAGTATTTTGGAAAGCTAGGTTGGCACTAAAAAATACCAAAGTGTCGATCACCTCAAGCAAGCGCTCCGCCGGGAATGGGCCAAAATACGGCAGAGTAAAATTCGGGCAGCGTGTGACGGTTTCATTGGCCGTTTGAACAAATCAAAACTTATTCTAAAATTTGATGCTACTTCCGACATTTTTTGTTTTGATTCAATAAAATTAAAAAAATGTGTAAAAATTATGGCGTTTGACTTTGTTGCAGTTCTTTTTATCTCACCCTTATCTCTTATGCGTTTTTTTTAGATTTTATACTTGTGTGCCATGAGGGCATTCTGAATTGATAAAATTCGTCAAAATTGGTCCAGCCATTCTTAAATTATAAGTATTCTAGCTTACATCCCCTTCCTTTGTACATATACATTGTATATATTTCGCTATATATATCCGATATATTTACATCTACGTTACGGTCGTCTATTTGGGAATTCGCCGGGATTAAAAATGTTCGCCTTTTAATGGAAAATTTGACTTTTATTTGACACAAATGTTATGGTCTATTTCACCGAGCAAAGCAATAGAGATTCTATTCTAGACTCACCTCCATTCTAAATTTCGTAAAGATCGGGCCATAATTGCGACCTGTAGAATGATTACAAATTAACATGGACAGACGGACATACATAGCCAGATCGACTCAGCTCGGCGAGATAGGAAGATCTATATATATATATATATATTCCTATGTGGGAAACCAATATTTCGAGGCGTTACATAATTTTTGGCCCAATCAAACTTATAATACCCCCAACACATAGTGTTTTAGGGTATAAAAAAACGCAATATATCGAAGTGTCTGAAAGTCGTGTAAGCAACATTGTTAGTAGAAATGAAATACGAAGGCATTTGGACGTCAGGTTCATGATCCTATTCCAAATTCTAAGATGTTTTTAACAGAGATTATAGCTACAAAAGATTAGGGATTGAAGCAAACTGCATACCCAGAATACCGAGAATAACCAATAATTATAAGGAATTTTTATTATCACATTTCAATGAAAATACAAATTTCTTGATATTTTTATAATTTTCTATTATTTTGAGAATCTGACAATTTTCCAGATCAATATCAGTTTTTAGTGCGTCATTTCAAATTTCAACCGTGAAATGATGGACATTCGCATGTACATATGTGTATGGGTACATGGAAATAAACGCAACAACAATTGTTCCAATATCAACATTTCGCAAAATGCCTGCAGTACCTAACGCCATACGCA